CTTTGATGTGACATAGTCAACTGAGGTCATCCTTTTTAATTTTCTTCAAGGTAGCAAAATATAGATGGAACTGTAGTGTTTTAATTGCATGTATCCCTAGGCTTACTACTTGGGGCTTTGAATGTGTTGTAATAGGACAGTGTCTGCCCTTTAAAGGCACCATGTAAGGATAATATTAAGTAGATAAAAGCATAGTTTGAACGGGATATGTCACGTGTCTGGAAGGAGGTGTGCACATGACTAGTCTGCCCTTTACAGATCAGGCTGACCTACAAGAATGGGAATTTCTCCTGGCTCCTGTCCTTCCCCTCCGTGTTTCTTTACCCTGCTTGATCATCCACTTGAGATTATCCATGTCTAGACTCCTGTAGAAGATAGACTGTTATCAGGGAGCTAGGATTAAAGAGCCATCTATAGTTCATTCCCCTGTCCACAGTGACCCAGGACAGACCCCATCACTCATCAAGGCCTTTGATAATGACATCTTTAAAATGGTTAAGGTGAAATTCTGGTGAGAGAAGAATGCACATGCCTGCCTTTGATGTCCTAGTCCCCATGGCTGAGCAGCCACCACGCCTGGGTCACACCGCTGCTAGCTACTGCCTCCTTCACCCTTTTTCTTCTCCCATTTTCATCCATCCAGGTACAAACCCACGATGATAAAATGAAACTGCATTTCCCATATATTGTGTATTCTGCATAAGGGGCTGCATTTTGAAACGAGCCTCTCATTTGCAACCAGTAAGCTTCTGTGGTCCTTTGTGTGTTAAGATGACAAGAGCAGAAAGTGGGTTTGAGAAGTGTATCAGTACCAGTTCAGGAGTTTGGAATGGGTTACCTTGTCAAATTGTATTCTAACTCATGGAGGATTCCGAGCTAAGAACCTGTATTGCTCATGACAGTCCATCTTCATTTGGAGATTTCTCTTTGTATCTCAAAGTCATGATTGTCACCCAGGGCCCTGGAAACAGATCCATGTGCTGGGTGAAGAGCCTGGGTGTGGGGAAGTTTTAAGACCTCACCCCCCCACTCTCAATTCCTGCTGGAAGACAGTGGATTGCTACCTTCTCATGGGGGCCTATTTGCAGAGGAAGAATGAGCTGGAAGGGCTTTGGGAACTTGCCCTGTGGGGGTGGATTTAGAAGGAGAATCCTTGGCTGACCTTGGTAGGAACACAAAACAGTTGCTGAGGGCAGGCTGGGGGGGGGGGTCTAGGGCCTCTGAAATTCTCTTTATGGAAAGGTCTGTTAAATTTTGACTAACAAAATTCAACTCTTATTTATGACAGGAGTTTTCCAGTGTGATGATAATACGAATGATAATTGCTCACATTAACTGAGAATGTGTGTTCAAGCCAAGTTCAGTGCTTCACATATATACCTCCTGAAACCTAGAGAGGTTCAAGTCACTTGTCCAAATCCAGATAGTGTTAAGCCTGTCTGAAGGACAGGCAGGCTGAGGACTCTAAATGCCTAGAGCCTCACTGGTGCCTTTTCCTAACCCGCCTCCACTCTGTCCCACCCATCCCCCACCCATCCCCATGACTCAACAGAAATACCTTACAGAGCCAGGTTTTCTCACCCTGTTTTGATTGAAGCTGCTTTGGGAAAGAACAAGATTTCATCCATCTTGTTTACTCATCCTGATCTATTCTTAAGGGTCAGAATGTTTATCTAATTGGCCAGATGGGAATGTATTTAAAATAACCACCTGTGCCTTCATCTGCACCATAAAAGGATAGTGAATCTCCACAAAAAAAGTTCTGATCTGTTCTTTGTGATTGGAGTTTGGAAAAGGCATTGTCCTTCTGTGTTCCTTTCCTCTTCTTGAGACTGCAGTGTTTATCCTGAACAGCTGGGGTATCTGCAGAGTACAGAATGCACAGGAGTTAAGTACTGCTCTCTGGCTGACCCAGTGACTGGACAGATGTCTGTGGAAGACTTTGGCTTCACTTGGATATGTCTTTGTTGCCTCAGATGGCAGTGTAAATAGACATCCTTTATATTAAAGACTAGAGGGAAAGCCAAAATGCGAAACAAGTCCATTAGTCTCGTGGGTCAGATTTTTACCATTTCTTTCTCTACGCTAATTTGAATTAGCAATCAATCCACTCGTTCCTGTTCTTGGCATCTTTAAAGGTTTGTTTTATACTTTTGTTCCTTTTCATTCCTTGCTATCTTCTCTTATTTTCAATTTCACAAACTTATAATTTTTAGTTTCTCTAATCATTATTATACCCCAGTGAAGGGAGAGATTAGACTTTTACCACACTTTAAAGGCCCTTGCTACCCTACATCATAAATCAATTCTCTTGATAAACTGCATTAACACTTTTGGGCCATAAGGGGCAGGTCTAATGCACTGATTTATAAACAGAGGCTGAAAGTTAATGGATTCCTAAAGTTACCTACTGCAGAGAACTGGCCTGCAGTTTAAACATCACAACAGTTAGTCAGTATCAGAGAAGAGCATCCTGCCCCTGGTCACAAGATGTGACTGTTTTTGGTACAGTACCATAGGGTGAAGGATCAATGTAGTGCCAAGAGATCTCAATTTGCTTGTACCTATAACTGCCTTACTCTTATTGCTTAGAGGAAAACACTCCTGTGTGTAGCTCCCTATTTAGAAAATAGGATCTTGAATCTGTCTTGAACATATGGTACTCCAAAAGGCTTTTAGAGGAAGTAACACAAATACAATAGTAAAAGAATAAATAGGACTGAAATTAAATGTATTATGATTTGTGCTAGGTTCCTCTCTTCTCTGTCATTCCTCTTTCTAACAACACCCTGGGGAAGTAAAATAGGAATTTTTATATCCACTCTGTGCTAATGGAAAAGCATAAACAAACCAAGGAGGCTCTGAGAGAGTAAACCTTAACCTAAGATCACTTACCTATGGAAATGTTCCATGGAATTCTCATAGTAGTAGTAAGAACACAACTGGATCCAGGCTGACCAGCAGGCCACCTGAACCACTCTGGCCTGAAAGACATTGAGGCACTTTGTCCTTGGTGGATAAGAACCCCACCATAACCAATCCAGCTGATGTCAGACTCTGATTATAGATACTGAAGTAGTTACTTTTCTGTTGCTGTAATAAAATGCATGGTCAAAGGCAACTTAGAGAAGAGAGTTTATTTAGACTTACAGTTCTAGAGGGAGAGTCCATAATGGTGGAGGAGCCATGGCAGCAGAACAAGAAGCTGAAAGAGCACATCTTCAGCAGCAAAAAGAAAGCAGAAAGAACAAAGTGAAAGTAGGGCTGTACCATGTCCCCAGACAGCACCACAAACTGGGAACCAAGTGTTCAAATATCTTGAGTCTATAATTTTTCAAACCATAAATACCAGATTATCCCAGAAAGCTCTGGAAATATCCTAATCTAATTCTTCATGTTTATCATTATATGTCAAATATTGGACATTCTTAGACTATGAATACTTAGATGCCTCAGTGCCAAGAATAGAAAGTAAGAACCCACAACTCATATATGCTTTGTTGAAGATATCTTTCACAAATGTTGGGCTTGTTCATAATATTGGGTTTTAATACTGTCACATGTGTATTTGTGAGGCTGGCCCAAGAGTTCATGATGAGCATTGTTTTGTGTGTACAAAGATAATTGGTTTAGCCTGGTTTGGGAGTGACTAGTAGTTCCATTCTTTATAACTTTTGCATCACTTGATATCAGTCTCAATAGTTGCCTTTCAAACTCTTAGTGTCAGTTTGCGTAGGCTTCCTTTTATAATGTAGGGCTTGTTTGTACATGGGAATAAAATTAATCAAGTGGTTGTTGTGGGGAAAATGTAGAGCAAGCTCAAGAGCCCCCAAGGGAGGTATATTTTAGTGATCTGTTAGTTCAACTTTTCATATTTCTGCTCTGTATAATAAAAGCAAATAATAAGAATAAACAGCACTTCTTATAACCCATGGATCAGGGGCTCTGCTCCTTCCCCCCAGAAACAGAGCTAGCATTTGTTTTTGGACTCTGTTTAGATTATTCACCATTAAGCCAGAAAGGGCTTATCTAATTACCATTTGAAGAGTGTCCAGTGATATGCTCTTAGTGGTGTTGATTCTATTTGGATCCACTCCTGCTGTCCTTGTGTGGAACATCAAGGAAGGCTGCTCAGAGAGCAGTTGCCCCTTTGCTGATATTTGGTGCTTGTCCAATGCTCAACAAAGGCACAGCTCACAAACTTGTACTCCATTCATAACCTTCTACTCCATCTCCATTCATAACCCTGTAGTCCATATCCATTCATCCACTCTATAATCTGCAGTACTGGCATTGGTTTGATGTTCCTCTGATGTACAGAACATATGTGTGTATTTTGTGACCAACCATAGAACATATTTTTATTGTTCCATGCTGAATCGCTCTTAAATTTCATCTAAGTTGTAGTTTTTTAAAAGAATATTTTTTCTTATGATTAAAGCAATATGGGAGTACATTCATTCATAGTCAAAACTATATAATGCATTATATAGTTGTATGAAAAATATCCTTATGAAACTCAATAATATATATTATGGATATTAAAACAGAAAAAATAAAATGGGTCAAGAGAATGTAACAAATACTGAATATAATGAAGCAAATGTAAATTATACATCATTTCTTCCCCCTCCTAAGTTAAATAAGTACAATAAAATTTTTGTCTTTTACCAAGCAAAGGTTCTCTTACACTTTACAACTTTGTGATCTAATAGACTTGTGATGTCACATGAACTGAGAGCTTCATTACGACAATATAGGTAATATATACGTATACTTCTAAAAGCTATGACAACAGGAGATTTCAGATGCAGGTGAAATGCTGGATTAATTTGAATTAGAACTGGATCCCTAACTAATGTATCACAGTCAAATGACACAGAGGTCATTTACCAAGGGTGTTCTTGCTAGATGTCTAAAGGAGTGAGTTGGGAACACCTTGGCAACACATTCTTCCCCTAGGTACTGTGACAGTAACTTGTGTCTTCCTTCTTTTCCAGAGTGACCGTCTTCTCATCAAGGGTGGGAGAATCGTCAATGATGATCAGTCCTTCTATGCTGATATTTACATGGAGGATGGCTTAATAAAGTATGTTATGAAACCTTCTACTTCTCCACTTCTTCTCTGCCCTAAGGAGTTTTAATTTCATAAATAAAGTGAAAACATTGAGTTTCCTAGAAAGAATCATTCTCCAGGCCCCTTTATGAAAATTGTACTACAGGGAATGCCATGGGTTATAGAAGATTGGATGATGTGACCCTAACCTTATGGATACTGATAAGTGTTCATGAGTGACAGCAGCCTAAAAATATCAAGGTGTGTGATAGATTTCAATGTGAAATCATAATATACACAGACTTTTGTTAGACGGGTAAGGCTTTAGATTAAATACTTAAAAATGAACTTTAGAAAATGATGGTAAGGCTTAGAAGGGCATGTTTTCAGGCATGTTTTCCAAATACATTCATCAGGGATCTGCACTCTGTAGGATTATTTGCTACTGAAGAAGCATAGGTAGATAATGTTCACATATTGGTTTTTTAAATGGTGAATTTCAAAACAGGGTTTGACTAATATGGTATTATATCACGAACAGCAAGATATTCCATTATATTAATAAGATGTTATGTATGTCTAGAACACCCAGTTCACCTTGTTACCATTAGTATTTGCTATTAGCAACATATTCATGTAAGGTACTGGTCACTGCTATGTCACATTCTAAGGTAGGCATTCTGCATTCTCCAATCAGCATCCCCCAGTCTTTGGGGACCTTAGAATTTTTGAGGAAAACTGAGGTATCTGAATATATATATCAAGGATCCAGCATTATCAGGTAATGACAATATCAAGTACTGAATAACAGGCTAGATGGAATTCAGAGTAAGCAATTGTTAATTACAATGTTTATTGATCCCTAATGTGTTTAATAGTGGGTTTAGAAAAGATTAACTTTTAAATCTACACAACTCCAATGAGGAGCTATTACATTTTACAGTCAAAAGAATTAGATCATGGTGAGATTAAATAATAACTGGCAGAGCCAATACTGTAAATCTGGGTAGTCTGTGTCCAAAGCACACCTATACTGGGTAGGCTTCCATAAGAAAAATGACTAAATGAAGAGATAGAAGCTGAGATTTTAGAGACCACTGTGGCCTTAGTGTGTCAGAGAAAAGTAGGTAATATGCTAGTTGTAAAAAAGAGTGAAACAATGTATATAAATATATAAACAGAGCCACACCTGTCCATACATTCCTCATCCTCTTATTTCTCAGTTTCTCTTGGAGGAGGAACTAAGAAAAAGAATAGCAGAACCAGCCAGGCAGTGGTGGGGCACGCCTTTAATCCCAGCACTCTGGAGGCAGAGGCAGGCTGAGCTCTGTGAATTAGAGACCAGCCTGGTCTATAAGAGCTAGTTCCAGGACAGGATACAAAGCCACAGAGAAACCCTGTCTCAGAGAGAAAAAAAAAATGAGTAGCAGAATAGCAGAACTGGGCAATATCTGTATATGTACTAATATAGAATTATAATCAGAGGCTGCACTTTTTCCACAGTGTATTTTGAATTGTGGTTACCCTGGAATGGCCCCATGATGATGAGGTGAAGTTGAACTCTTAGAAATATCAGGAATACATTAGCTGTGAACCTAGAGTTTGCTGGTCAATGATGGATTATTTTACTACCACAAGAGAACCTTTTTGTTTATGTACAGAAGGGACAGCACTCATACCACAAATAGTGGGTTATACATGTGCCCAAGGTAGGAGATACTTAGTGTTAATATAAACTGTGAATCTTAGGTATACCATGGTGACAAACTTGACCAGATGCCTAGATCAAAGATACAAAATCAAGCAATGCTGCAGGTAGTGATCTGCAAGCAGCATTGTGAGGAATAGGTATACATTCCTTGTGAGATGCACCTTTGAAACACCCATTGAGCTACTCCCCACTGCCTTGCTTCCCACCCCCATTCCTTCCTGGAATGCGCTAAAGCTTCCTGGGTCACACTGTATCTTGGGGAGAGTGTCATGATATCTTCCTTAGTGTGAAATCTCTGTTGAGATACTGTGCAAAAGCAGTGTATATGAGATCCGCGTGTGTGACTCTTTCTCTGTGAATGTGCATTGAGGCACCATTGGCTCACCACGGGAGGGTGGAATAAGGAAAAGAACCCTGAGCTGGGGAATGACTGGGGGAGATCTTTCACTAGGACACAGAAAATCTGCTTAGAAGATGGCTAAGCTCCCATACCTGTTGCTGTACTGAGTATAATTATGGTTTATTGTTGCTCCAAACAGTTTTTCACACTCTTCATAGCTTTCCCTAGTGTCATCCCACACCATTTAAAAAAAAAAAAAAAAGAGCAAAGTGAAAGAAATAATTGAAATGGTTAAGTAAAACTATTAGTCATGTGTTGTACTCTAGAAAATAGCAGTACAAAAGGTCCATGCAGATAATTTTGTGTTAACAAGAATAGTTTTGTATACACAGCTGTCTACCTTTGTTTAAAGACTACTGGACTTGTGACTTTGAAGACCCCAATGTCTAAAATCCTTCCATCCTATGCTGGTCTTGAGTGTTGCTTTTCTTAATTGCCACTGGTTCCAATGTCTCACCAGGCAAATTGGAGACAATCTGATTGTCCCCGGAGGTGTGAAGACCATCGAAGCCAACGGGAAGATGGTGATTCCTGGAGGTATTGACGTACACACACACTTCCAGATGCCTTACAAAGGAATGACCACAGTGGATGATTTCTTCCAAGGAACAAAGGCTGCCTTAGCAGGTGGCACCACCATGATCAGTAAGTCCCCAGACTAGACATATTCCTGCTGCCCTGGGCTGTGTGTTTGCCAAATGCCTGGTTTCTGATAATACTAACACAGACACACTTCTCTCAGTTTGGTTTGTGAATTTATGTTCCTGGGGATGGTTATTCTTAGGAAAACTGCCAGCTCCTTGTAATTACACAAAGGAGATCCAAGAACCTCATGACCATGAAAGCGACCGAGAAAAAAATACGTTAGAAAGAATGATCATTGAGACTGACAGTTCTTGGGGGATTAGTGGTCCTTGGTGAACTTAGAGCTATTGGGTCTTTGCTGTCTTTTGACCAATTTGTATCTTTCAGATTAGGAAAGCTGTGAGTGGTTTCCTTTATTGTTGTTTTGTTTTGCTTCTGTTAACTACTAATTCTAGGGAGACTTGGGAAGTGGCATGCCATTGGATTAGTAAACTGATAGCATTCCAGGCAGTCTTTCCTGTCCCAAGGAATCTCAATGAATTGGGTACTGGCCCAGAGCTAGCTTCAAACTTGGGAGAAAGAGCACTGTTTATTTAACATCATATTCCTCTACCCACAGGCACAGAGCAGCTTGAGCCAGAATTACAGTCTGTCTTGACCTTTCTTTCCACTCAACCACTAGCAGCGGTCAACTTTAGCTAGGATGTAGAAGCCCAGGAAAATTGCAGCAAGGCCATAAAAGGTGCAGTCCAAGGAGGCCTGAGCTTTTCTCCCAACTGATGGGAGGGAATGAGCTGACTTCTCAGCAGCTGTCTACCCAGGAAAGTGCTTGTGTCCTTGAAGACATTAGTAATGTAGCTGGATGCATTTACTTTCCGATCAGTGCACTTGGGCTCCTTTGACAGAGAAAATGCGTGATATTGGCTTTGGCTTGGCTGACTGCCATCTGGGTGAGGACTGGGCCTGTTCTGCATGCCTGTCATGTTCCTTATGCTTGGTCTTCCACATTAGTGAAGTGGCAGAGGGAAAATCAGAGCTCTAGGTGAAGAATAAAACTTACAAGGAGCTACAGATGCATTCTCATCCTAGGTGGAAAACTTAGAAACGTTCAACATACACAAAGCAAAGGATGCATGTAACCCTACTTCATGGTTAAGAGTTACTATTGGGCAGTTTCCAATTTAACGAGAGGATTGTAATATTTTTACCATATTTCAGGCTGCCATTTTTTTTTTACAAAGTCATGAATCCTGAAAGTCTTTCTTCTCTTTCTTCGTATTATACCACAGATTTTTTTTTTTTTAAATAGATGTCTGAGAAAGTTTCTCTGTAACGAAACTTCTCAATTTTTTTCAACTTGTCACTTGCAGTTTTCCATTTCCGTAAATGAATTATCGAACACCCTAGAAACTAAATGTTGCTAACACCTTCAGCTTGTTTTCCTAGGTATGAGGATAATTATTGCAACTATTGCATTGGCTCTGAAAAAGACTTTTGTTACATGTTCAGTGTCATTCTCTGGATAGTTGAATCACTTTCATCCTTTACCTCAGCTGCCTGCGGGGCACTGAAGAGAATGGAGCTTTTGCCTAACCCTTGCTATGACATCAGCAATTATTTGAAAATCTGTACCATCCATGTTCCAGGGAAGAGAGTAAGAAACTAATTCTTGTTAACCTTGACCACTAGTGCCTGTCATACACCCAGAACTTCTTCTTCTATGCAGGGAAGAGAGCACAACTTTGTCACTAGTAGTGACTCGGCCTCAGCAATCACAAATAGCAGGTATTCATCAAGCAAGATCTAACATGGGTAGCACTTTATATGCCTTTTATCCTTACTCATACAACAGAGGGAAACTATTGTCATAACCTATTCCCCTGTCCATTTAAAACACATTTTAAGACGTGAAAACTGAGGTTTCAGAAAGGTAATAATTAGTTCCAAGTCCCAGAGTTATTTAAAGCACTGGTATCTCCGAAGGCACCAAGACACAGAAGTTGTACAGTCATAACTAAGCAGGAAGGAACAGACTTGCAGGATGTGGGGAAGGACCAAACTGTCCTGAGTCACCGATCTGGCCCTCATCTTTCAGTTGACCATGTGGTGCCTGAACCTGAGTCTAGCCTGACTGAGGCCTATGAAAAGTGGCGTGAGTGGGCTGATGGGAAGAGCTGCTGTGACTATGCTTTGCATGTGGATATCACCCATTGGAACGACAGTGTCAAGCAGGAAGTGCAAAACCTCAGCAAAGACAAAGGTGAGCAAAGCACCCAGCCTCCTGTCTCTTGGCTTGCATGCCTATTTTTCCAAAGTGTCCCACTCATTTGAGTCACCCACCCCTACACACATACACACACTTTAGAGCCTGGTACCATAAGCACACACATATATGTATATGTATATGTATATGTATATGTATATGTATATGTATATGTATATGTATATGTATATGTATATGTATATGCAACTTTGTTTACTTTGTACAGGATCCTCATTGGATAGTATTAGTCACCGTGCATGGAAAAACAGAGGGTCTGAGTAACTGTCTGGGATCACACTTAGTACCCAATAAATCCATCCAGAGATGATGCATTTCACTTCCACAAATGGCTTAGTTAAGGTTTCTATTGCTGCCATTAAGCCTCACAGCAAGCTGTGACTAGGGAAGGAAAGGGTTTATTGCATTTTACGTCTGGTAGTTCATCACTGAAGGAAGCCAGGACAGGAACTCAAGTAGTTCCTGGAGACAGGAACTGAAGTACTGGACTGGAAGAACCTCTAACTGGCTTGTTCCTCATGCTTCCCACTCATAGCACCTTGCACCACAGCCCAGGGATGGCACTGTCCACAGTTAGCTGCGTCCTCCCCTATCAACAATAGTCAATCAAGAAAACGAAGCACAGATTTGCCCATGGGGAGGAACATTTTCTCAGTTGAGGTTCCCTGTTGCAAAATGCCTTTAGTTTGAATCAAGTTGACATAAAACTAACCAGCACAACACATTATTGACAGTTTTGCGAATGGAGAAACTGAGGCAAGGTGGCTGATCCTCCCAGAAGTTGCTAACAAATCTGAGATCAAATATTTCTAACACCTATCAGTTTTACTCAACACAAAACTATTAATATTATATAATAATGGCCTCCTCAAGAATGGCTAAGACATGCCAGGAGCAAGTATTTTCTAGCTAGTAGTGAAAATATGTTCTTTCAGTATGGCTGCCTCTCTCTCTCTCTCTTTGTGTGTGTGCTTGTGTGTGTGTGTGTGTGTGTGTGTGTGTGTGTGTGTTTGTGTATTATTGGAGGGTGTCCTCTCATGTGAAGATGTTTCTTCTTAGGTTCTGATCATCAGACATTGAGTGCCCACAACAACAAATATACATATGCAATTATGTACCCTGTTCTCAGCTTTGTAGGGGGGAATCTAGGAACTCAGAGATGGATAAGCAACAGCCTCTGTAGAAGGTTCAGTGCAAAAGGAAACTGTCCAACCAAAGGCAGCTGCATGGATGCTTAAAACCCATGACCTGTCTGGTCACGGGGCAAGGACTTCAGGAGAATATCATCTGTCTATGTGGAGGGGAGATGACCCCATAAATCCTGCCCAACCTTGAAAACATAAAACATGCACTCAGCCCCTCTACAGTGTGAACTGTAGAAAGTTCAGTGCTTTAACCAGCACACAGGGTCTGGGTCATTCTAAGGATGACTTGGAGGCTTTGGAAAAGGGAATGTTGTGGAGAGGTGCCCTGAGTTGACCCACGCTGAGTAGAGACATTCTTGAGCTGTAATCTACTTTTGGCAGCGGAGAATGTGGCTAAGCTGACCCTAATGGTTAAACCAAAATTATTTTCCTTTTCTCAAAATGATTTTCTATCTCCCATCCCACCTACCTATTTATTTTGTGTGAAAAATCAATAGATCTTTTTCTATAATGTTCATGGCTTGGGTGCTTAAATACAAAGCACAAAGTGCTATCTCATCCCTATTCACTTTGTTAATTCACTGAGGCCAGATTTTGTGTTTATTTTTATTTCTGCATTCGAAATCTAGATAATGTTATGGGAAAGAGTCATTCTTCAAACTGTGTGTGGATGTTCTATTGCTATAAAGACACCATGACAAAGACAACTCTTGAAAGCATTTAATTGAGACTGGCTCAAAGTTTTTCTGAGGTTCAGACCATCTTCATTATGGTGGGAGTGTGGGAGGCATGGCAGCATGCAAACAGACATGGTCCTGGAGAAGTAGCTGGGAGTTCTACATCCATATTAGCTGGCAGCAACAGGAGAGATATACTGGGCCTGGCTTGAGCATTTGAAACTGCAAATCCCACCCCCAGTGACATATATCCCTCCAAGGCCACACCTACTCCAACAAGACCACACTTGAATCCCTGTCTAGTATCCTCACTCCCTAATGGTTAAGCATCCAAATAATGGAACCTCTGGGGAAATTGCTATTCAAAGCACCTCAAGGAGTATATAATCAGCACCTTTTTATCATAAGAATCCAGAGTATTTCTAGGTTAAAAATCTAGATTTGACTTTGCATGTTATTTTCTTTCTCCCTGTCTCTGTGTCTCTGTCTCTGTCTCTCTATCTCTATCTCTCCTGCCCTAGGCAGGTTTTCTCTATATAGCTTTGGCTGACCTGGAATTCACTCTGTAGAACAGGCTGGCTTTGAACTCACAGAGATCTCACCCACCTTTGTCTCCCAAGTACTGGGATTAAAGGCATGTGCCACCACCCACCCTGTTTATTCTTTAAGTGAATTAATGATAATGGAGGATGAATAGTATACTTACAAATTATGTGCATGTGCTTTGTGTATATGCATGTGTTTATACATGTGCTGTGCATGTGTATATTCAAAAATACAATTTCAGTGACAGAAAATACATCATGTAAGTATATACCTTCCATGCTGTATCTTAGAAGAAAATCGGGGCTTATAGGGTTTGGGTTTTATTTTATTTTATTTTGATACAGAGCCTATTGGTTGCCCTGGTACTTTTTATATAATCCAGCTCACCCCCAAACTTATAAGGTGCAACAAGGGATAGAAAGAAAATTCATAGCAATCCTGCTTCTTCTTCCCCAGTGACAGGATTAAATGCTTGTCCCCTCACAAGACCTGACTCAGAAGAAGATTTTTAAGTTAGTTTTATAATTATTTTTTCTTAGGCACCTCCCTCTCCAGCCTAGTATATACCAGTCATTCACCACATAGTGAAATAAACCCATCTTCATGGCGACCAAATGCTTGTTCCCCAAGGACAAAAAGCCTTTAAAGTGTTGCCACCTTCAGTAGTGAACTGCTACCTTATGAAGTAGGAGTTATTATTCCAGCTTCAGGGGAGGAAACCCCAGAAGTTAAGCATTCCAAGCTCATTGCCTTATGTTGCAGCTCCTAGGGTCTGGGCTCAGCTCCTGTGCTATCATAATTTCTCTGGTGTCTGCTTCCTGAACAATGTGAAAGTTATTGATCTTCTGAACTGCAATGCTGGGAATTAGCATTAGCAAAGGATACAGAAGGGACAGCTATCTTCAAGGAAACCACTAACCAACCAAGAATTTTATGGGCAACAGAAGGCACGATAAGATGGGGCATTCAGAATGTCTCCTTATTGGGCAGACACCTGAGCTATATGGTCAGGGACCGTGGGGTGATAAACATGAGAAGGTGGTGGTGATAATTAATGTCTTTTTTCTGATTTCCTTCCTTTCCTTGTCTTGCAGGTGTTAACTCCTTCATGGTTTACATGGCCTACAAGGATTTATATCAAGTGTCCAACACAGAGGTAGCAATCCATCTGGCTGTGTTGTTTGGATTGGGGTTCTTATTGTTGCTGTTGACCTTGGCCCTTGGAATCACTGTGGTGACTGTGGGTGGAAGGCCACTGTCAGGCTGCCTATTGAAAAAGCCCTTGAAGTCCTGGCTGCATTTCAAAAGAGTTAATGGGATAGCAGAGAAGAGCTTAAATTTCTCCTGGCAACAGTTGTCTTAAAGAATAAGAGGAAAGCTCTTATCCCCAAATCTCTCAAAACCTAGAGAAAATGTGAAGTCCTCTGCTTCACGAGATCAGGAGGGCTTCCTACAATGGGAACCAGCTTGACATAATTGTATCAGTAGGCCTCCCCTAGGAAATCATGGGTGTGTCTCACTTTGATAGAGCTGGAACAACCAGGGGAAATGTACGAAATTAGCCTCTTACCTTAAGAGGTTCAGGTAAAGAGTGAGTATTGAATTAACCCAGTACTCATGGAGCACTCGGTAAAGAATTCTGACACCATGTCTCAGCTCAGTGGGAAATTACTCCATGAGAGTTGAACACCAGAGACAAGGCTTATCAGATATTGGTCCTGTCTGTGTAAGTCCAGACAAGGCTTTCTTTCATACAGACAGAACCTTCTAAAATGTCTTTGTCATTTTGTTTGTTTTGGTTTGGTTTAATTTTGAGACGGGGCTTCTCAGTGTAACCCCTGGAACTCATTCTTAAGTGTAGGTTGGCCTCAAACTCACCGAGATCCACCTGCCTCTACCTACCCAGTGCTGGGATTAAAGGCGTGTGCCACCAGGTCTGGCTAAAATGTCTTTGGACTATATCCCTCTCTAGTTTAAGATATTGTTTCAGATCTGGTTTTAGCAATGGGTCTTTATTTGAAAGGTGGCTGTGAGGTTGTTCATTTCTGTTTCAGCTCTATGAGATCTTCACCTGCCTGGGAGAGCTGGGGGCCATTGCTCAAGTTCATGCTGAAAATGGAGACATCATTGCCCAGGTAACATCACAGGGCGAGCCTTTTTTATATGTGAGCTTGGGTCTGTATCCCATCCATTTTGCTCTTCAGCGTGTTTTGATGCCCCAGGTGTTTAGGACTGACATAAACACTTTACTAAAGCCAAAATCCACAGCTAAAGCTAAAAACCTCACAGGTCTAGGCTCATACTTGTAATCCTAACATCCATGGGACTTGCAAAGGAAGGAGGATCATCAAATGTTCACAGCCATTTGGAGGCCATAGTGAGCTTTTTTGTTTCCAGCTGTAAACAGTGTACGTTAAAGAATCAATCTTCAACAACACAGTGGTGGCACTCGCCTTTAATTCCAGCACTCAGAGGCAGAGAAAGATACCTGATTTCTCTGAATTGGAGGTCAGAGCTACACAGAGAAACTCTTTCTGTACCCCCCTACCAAAAAAAAAAAAATAATCTTCAAGGGGTCAGGTAGTGGTGCACATCTTTAATCCCCCAACACAGGAGGATGAGGCAAGACAGAGCACTGAGTTCCAGGCCAAACAAGGCTACATAGTGACCCTGTTTCAGAAAATCTAAAGCTACAAAAAAAAAAAAAAAAAAAAAAAATTACTTTCAGATTATAAATTACTAAATTTACACAGAGAGAGAGAGAGGAGAGAGAGAGAGAGAGAGAGGGGGGGGGGGAGAGAGAGAGTGAGAGAGAGAGTCTCCAAAGCGGTTTCTGAGATAAGACTCACTTAGTAGCCCTGGCTGGCCCTCTGGAACTCACGAGGTAGCATTGGCTCTGCTGGGATTAAAAGGTGTGTGTTTGCCACGCCCAGCTATCCTGATCTTCTTACTGGAGGTGGGTGACCCTCCCCAAATGTGGGCGGCATCTTCCGGTGGCAACCCAGTTAAAAGGACGCGGTAGACAGAAACTTTGCGCTTAGACCCTTTGCCTTCGCTCTTGCTGGCAAGTAACCCTATCCTGCGGCGCAGCATTCCTTCATCGATATTAGGACGAAATTCTTTGGGATTTCAACGAAGACTATAGATCATAGCACTCCAGGACCCCCCCCCCCTTCCAGCCTTCAGCACCAGATTGGATCTGCCGAGAAGTCTAGCTACCAGCACTAAACAACGTTGGAATTGGCCTCTGCAGGGCAAGAGAGACTTTGACGGTTTGACTTCCCTGACCACATCCTTATTTGAGAAGGCGAGGCTACTTCTACAGAGTTCAGGCCATGGCGCACATGTACCTTCACCATGACACCAGTTTCTACAACCTGGGAGAACATGAGATCGAAGTGGAAATCGAGGATGAGCAAGAGACGGCAGCAGCAGAAGGGATCCATAGTGTCGACGAATGTGCTCCACGCTTCATAGGCAAACCCAGGTATCAGGGTGTCCCAAACCAGAGTGATGTGAACCACTCGCTCAACTTGTACAACACTGATTGTGATGTTGCCATTGCAAGCCAAGCGAGCCACTTAAGTTCAGGGCAGCTACAGCTGGAGGAGTGGGAACCCTTAGTTTCCACAGTTTCACAGCCCCGGAGGAGCACTCGACCACGGATCCGTATGGGTCTCACGGCATGGCAACTCAGAAAATTGGAGAGAGTTTTCGAAGAAGCTCAGTACCCTGATGAGATCACAAAGCAGAGCCTTGCGAAGAGCCTGTATATGAAAGTATCTGAAGTGCAGCATTGGTTTAAGAAGCGTAGAGCTAAGTATAGGAAAAACCAGAGCTTACAAATGTTCAAGGGTATCACTGATGATACCCAAAATGTCTTTCACTGAAGCTTTTAGAGGAGTCCTGGGGTGCCTGCCATCCTACTCCAGGAGCAAACATCCCTTCAGCAGTAAAGAAAGTTCAAGACCAGCTATAGCTACATAGACTCTGATTTGGAAAACAGAACAAAAACCCACTGACTCAAATCTGTGAAGAAGACAACAGAAAACAGTGGTAGAGAGAGCAAAGGATGAAAACAAGGAAAAACTTGAAGACTCTGTAGAGGACTGACCAGTTTTGGCAGCCATGTTAGAGGAGAGTTTCAGATTCAGAGCAGTCTTCACTGAAAACGAGCCAAAACTCCGTGGCATTCTCTGTCGTAAGGCCGTATTTCTCTGAAGCCAGAAATCTGATCCAGGACTGCAGAACTCAAATAGTAATGAATTTGGGTCTTGTGGGATCCAACATCCACTGGCTTCCTAGAAGTCACATTGTGTGGCTGGAAGAATGAAGAAAGCAATTGCTCAGCCCCAAACTGATCATTTGAAGGAAGCAGAGCAATTTCCTATCCGTCTCCTGAGTTGCTTAATGGAATAGATGCACAGATGTGTTTTCCTCAGGGATGTGCACTTAGCACTGGCCTCTGCCAGGAGGAGCCAGTAAGAAAGAGGGCCATCTCTGTCCATTTGATGACATTAGCAATCAGAAGCACAGTTCCTTCATGAAGAGTGTCTTGAGCACCTGGAGCTACCCTTCTCCTTCCAAAGGTAAGCACGAGTTGGTGACTGGGTCAGCAGGCATGCAAGCTCTTGCCTCATTGGCTTCTGAGTAGGAAGTACTGTTTGGGGAGAATTTGTACTGTTAGCAGATATTCGTTCTGGCATGTTCTTAGCTTTCCAAACTTTTAAGGTGCCATCACCCTGCCTGTTTTGCAGGTGAGGAAGTCAAGGCTCAGAAGGGTGGTGTCACTGGTTTATAGATTGTGACGAATAACTGGTAGAACCAGATTTTACTCTTAAAACTCAGTATGCCCTGGTAGGCGTCTTTACTCAGAGATCATGTGTGTGTGTGTGTGGGGGGGGAGAGCTTGGCTCTTCATGTCCCACAGCACAGGGCTCTAGATGTTGTGATTTCAGAGTCTCAGCAACCTCTTGAGAGTGGAGGAGGTGACTAAGTGTGCAATTTCCTCTGAGTTATGACCAAGAAAGCTAGTTAGTGAGGATCCTGATGTGCTGTCTTTCCATGTCTTCCTCCACACCAGACTTAATGAGAACTTTACTCATGGAGTGCCCAGTTGCCTTGATCTCAGGGGATGGACCCATGGGCGCTAGAACTATTAGCCTTCTCCTTTCTCTATGTGTTCAACCCAGCAGCTGGAGGCCCCCAGCTCTTGTTCTACTGTGATGAAATCCAAATTCCTGCTTCTATTTTAGGCCCATAGCTATGACAGGGCTCCAAGTCAAAGCACCACTGTTTGATTCCTTTCCCCTTGTGGCTCCTCAGTGCAGATGCTCCCTGGCTAGTCTTCATCCCACTCTTTCCTGACCTTGGGAAGATCTGTTCTACATCAGGAGAAAGAACTGGGGCATTGTTCCATTTGGATGAGTTTCTGGTGTGTAGTTATTGGATTCAGCTTTAGCTGAAGATTGTATCACGTCATCTAAATGAAGGCAGCTGCATGCCTCAGAGTTACAGGCTATACTGCAAAAGCAAGAGCAAAATAAAAACCTCCTTTGTGTATAAACAAGGACAATTTTCAGGTCTTTCCAATTCCAAACTAGGCTGGGCTTTCTTAAATTATGCATTTGAGAAATGTCCTATGCTCACAGAGTAATGTAGCTCCAACTCTTTCAGTGAAAGAAGCTCCCCTTTGCTGTAGACATAGACTGTCACAGACAACCACACATGGTCACAAATGGAGGACTGATGCCTTGGTGGATGCACCTACAACACAGCTCCTGTACTCCAAATTCAAGGAACATGAGGAGTCAGAAGGATTGTAAGAACCATCGCAGGAGGAGGTCTGCTATGAGATTATGTCTCCCAGAAATGATCGAGAAACTTCTTGTATGATATCACCACATTATGACTGCCAAAAAGGACCTGAACATTGACACAGTGATAACTCAGAGGGGCAAACTTTCATGGGTGCTCAACTCTAGGCAAAGAACTACAGTCAACCAGTGACCTCGAGACAGGGGAGGAAGGGAAGGGAGGAGAATTAGTCTTCCCAGGATAAGTCCCTAACTGGTTATCCAATGCCAAGTAGTTAACCCTGAAATTTGTATATGCAAGATTTTTGTACTTCTATATATGTAGCAAATGTAACTAAAGAGAGATCAAGGGGCCATGGATTTGGAAGGGAAGGAGGTGTGGGTATATGGGAGGGGTTGGAAGGAAGAAAGTAAAGAGGAGAAATAATGTAATCATATTTTGATTAAAATAAATACATTTAAAAAAAAAAGAAACTGTCTGCATTCAAAACAAAGCAAGGCCCATTTCCTCATTGGAGCAAGCCACAGCTGTGCTATGGCCAGTATAATAAAGTCATTGCTGTCATATACACTTAGAAGCAGTGTGTTTCCAGTGACCTTGGTAAGCTGGATGCACCCTACATTAACACATATGAGCAATAGAGGTCATATAAGGATATAAAGCAGAAGATATTTAGTTATAAATCTTAGCCTTTATCCTCATTGGGGAGGACTCTTACTGGAGTTTGAAAGAAAATATGTCTAGAATTCAATCAATGAGAATGGCCAGAAGATAAAAAAGGGTGTGGTTGGAACGATTAATAAGCCTATGAAGGTTTTAGAGAATTTACTATCTATGTGATATAGTGCTGCCTTTTCCTGCCCCTCCATTTATTTATTTATTTATTTGAGACAGGGTTTCTTGTATATCCTTGGTTGTCCTGGAACTCACTTTGCAAACCAGGTTGGCCTCAAACTCAAGAGATTTCCCTGCCTCTGTCTCCCAAGTGCTCAGGTTAAAGTCTGGGTTTTTAGTCTGTCTGGATTCCAAGCCAACCTTGGAATGATTCATCCCACACTCAGATAATCTTGAGACACACCCGGAAGTATGCCTCACCAATCTAGTCCCTAGGTGGTGTAACAAATCCAATCAAGCTGACCAAGGAAGACAGACCATGAAGCTTAACCACTACCTATGAGCATTTTATCTTTCCTCTTAATCTGAATTACTACCAACAAAAACGGCGTCTTTCCAGCTGATAGGAATCCTTTTGTGCTAACTCTTCCTCATGGTTAAAAGATGAGATAGCCTTGGCCCAACTGATCTCCCCTTAATTACCAGAATCTCCCAGGCCATTAGGCTGGGATCACTGGAACAGAGGTTCTTAGGAACTAGCCTTAATAATTTCAGGGTACAACTGTAGAAAATAGCCTAGGGTTTCTGCTACCCCTAATTGTACCCATTTGCTTCTCTGTAAAAGTTGTTCTTCAGTGTGAGGATAATTAGAGTCTTCCATAAGAAGCATGCCTTTCTGTCTCACTATAATGTACATAGAATTTTACCAAATAGTAACTCAAGTAATGCTGTCAAGAGGCGCAGCTTTGTTTGGTTGAATTCAGCATCCATTCATGTACCCGGTGGATTTAAAATAACAAACTTAGAGGCTGTCACTAAAACATGAGTTGTTGGAACTTGACACTGTAGCTTCTCATTGGGCCACAATTGGATTGGAAATCTGCACCTGAAATAAAGCATCCCAGAAGAACCTGTTAGAGATGGCCAGGGACCACATGCTGGGGGATCTGGCCCTAAACTGTAAATTCCACTGCCTTGATCCAGGTACTTAGCCCAGAGCATAGCCTGGAGCAGATGTCAACACCTTTTATTGACTAGAAACAGTTAAAGTCAAGATTGAATCAGCCAAATGGTGAGGCTAGGGGATGTTTGCAGGAAACTGGGTCTGAAAGAGACCAGTAAGTGAGATTTTACTGGTCATGTAGACAAAACAGGAACACTCATAAGCTATCTCCCTTTTAATAAAATTAAGCCAGTAAGCTTTTTAAAGATTCAATTTACAACTGCAAATGTGGAATCATATATTTGTCCAACGTATACATTTTATTCTTTCCCCTCTGAGTGCATCTCAGCCCAGAGCTCACAGATGTAATTTTCCCAAATCTTGGCTGTGATCATCAAAGAACTTTCTCTTTAAAAAAAAAAAATAATAATATATATATTTTTTTTTAATTTTAGGAGCAGGCTCGAATGTTGGAAATGGGGATAACTGGTCCTGAAGGCCACGTTCTGAGCAGACCAGAAGAGGTGGGTTTCATGGAGTAGAGCAGAAGGGTCATACAGGGAAAAGCCAAGATGGCAGTGAGAGTTGAAACTGTCACAGTCCTAGCCTGACATTCACTTTACTTCTGGAGTGTTTCTGTTTGGCTCTGATTTCCTGAGCCACATCCACATACATGGTAGGCATGAGCATGGCTAGAAGGTGATAGAATTTAAGAGCTGTCTAACAGCTAGCACTGTTGGAAGACCTCTCCCAAAGACCTCTTCTGACTAGAAAGGAATGTATGGGAAATGCTCACCTCAGACCTTCAGGTGCAGGACACTCCATGGGCCTTCAAGAGGAGTGCTAAATGTATAATTCTTTGCTAATCATCATGAATACTGGGGACATGCTTATGCACTCTCTCATATTGTCTTGAGCCTTGCAAAACATAATGTGGATAGGAGGTTGAGTAGACTTTTTCTAGGCGTTATATCTATTGATTTGAATAAAGTGATGATTGTGGTCAGGAAATGATTGATTTTCACTCATGAAATGATTGAGGCTGTGCATCTGCAGAACCAATAAAAGGTGACTGGTGGCTAATTTCTATCTGTTATGTCAGTTATTTCTCCTGTCAGCACAGGGCTCAGACCTTGAAATTAATCGCCCACCAATCTGAACGCTAGGTGGTTCTGACCTTGCGTGTTCCCAGAGCTCCTCCCATCAGTGAAGCTAATCCTGTTATGCCAAACTCCACAGAAGAGCCAGAACTTAAAGATTTTGTTCTTTCCTCATCCATTCTAGAGCCTGGAAAAAAACAAAAACAAAAACAAACAAACAAAAAAACCCTAAATGTAATACAAATATAGAGAAAATTTCCTATTACAAGGAGACTATATATCTTCATAAGCTGAATATACTTGTATCAGGCCATCAAGATGGAGATAGAACATGGCCAGGTTCCTAGAGGTTTCCAGTTGATACAATGTTATGTTTAATGATGAATTAAATTATAATTAAAATTAATGATTGACATTCCAGCCACACATGGCATTCCTGAAAAAAATCTGGGCCCTAATAACTCCAGGCCCTTTCTAAGGGACACTTATTTTTGGCAGTGCTAACTGTGTACATTGTCTCAGTTGCTCTTGCTGCCACCCGCCAGGTGACAGGTAGTAGCGTTGTGTGGTAAAGAACCTGACATTTAGGGAAAGTAAGCCATAGGCCTGTGTTTAAAGAACTGGAAAATCACTTATATAGTGTCAGCTGGCCATAATGGTCAACACTGTGAAACTATAACTGCTGGTCACTGGAGGGATGTGCTGGCAAGACAGACTTCTTTAGATGCAGCCAGGGGATTTCACAGCAAAGTCTATTTTTGTTCCTTGGTTTGTTTTTTCAACCTCACTCTGCCCCCACTACCTCAACCTTTCCTGGTCCCATCTCCTTTTTAGTAAGAAGGCCACTTAGCTGTAAATCTCTACAACTCTAGAAGCTCTCCTGAGTAAAACAGAAATGTGATGTAACCTTCCAAAGATAGTCCTGTCGCCAGAGTGCCACAAACCCTGCAGTGCTGGGAATGAGATCCAAACAAGGGGCCAGGACTGAGGTCATGGGGTTGCTGGAGTGGTCAGCAAAGGTATGGAGGAGCGTGGGGGAGGGGTGAGCGCAGGAAAAGCCAGCTGCTCTCCACTTCAAAGCTCAGTCTCAAGTGATGCTGTTCAGAAAAGACAGCCAGAGCCACAGAGCATGATCTCCAGGGTGCAGTGTCTGGGTACTTCAGAGGGCTTCACCTGTACCCAGGAGCCTTCTGGAGGATGCCAGTCAGCCAGCCCAGTCTGTCAAACCGACTGAACCACAATCATCATGAAGGGACTGGTTTGCATTATGCAGCCACTAGACATCTGTAAGCTATTTAGAGCCTACTTTTTTAAGTGTCCGTCTGTGCCAGCTAACCCAGAAAGTCATATGCATATGAGAAGGAATGGCTGATGATTCAATGAGAAATCACCAATGTCTCCACTCCAGGCCCAACAGGACTTGCTCAGGGTTTGGGCAATAGCTAACTTCACATTCGTCAGAAACTGTGATCAACAATCACAGCAATAACCACTGTTCCAGGCACTCATTTCTCAAAAGGATTAATGATTTAATCCTTCCAACAGCCCTAGGTTCCAGGACTCTCTGTTACTCCCACTCAGACAGGAAGGCAGCTGCACTTGGGGTTGTGTCATATACTTAAGGTTACCCGGCTTGTACATAGCAGAACCAGGATTCACTCTCCATCCACCCAAGGGAGCCTGAGCTCTCAGATCCTGCTTGGCTCATCAAATGTGGGGAAAACCATTGCTTTTTGTGAAGTAAGTGCAGCTGGGTTAGTTGGCATATTTGAAAACATGAATTCTGTGTTGGAGTAGGTTGAAAAAGGTCAGCAATGAGAACAGTGTTTGTGCTGCGGAGCTTGGCTTGGGAATTATTTGCATAAGAAATCGTTCCTAACACTAACCCTTTGCTGAGCCCATTGCGGCAGGAAAGGGCTGGATGTCCTTTATTGCGGTAAATAAGGGTCAGGATAAACAAATAGGCCGAATAGATGTTTATTCAGGGAGAAATAACTTACAACCTAGACAGATGAACACCAGGAAATTCAACCCGATCCTCTCCTGTCCGAGTCACGCCAGAAAGAGAGCGCCTTCCTGGCCCCCTCCGACCTCCTTCCTCAGGTCACCTCCGCCCATCGCTCCACCCCCCAATGGGCGTGGTCAGTGCTACAGAAGGACTACCTCACTACAGTCCTTGGGTGCCCGATTGTCTTCACTGGAGATTCTAGCCCTGCTGATGTGCTTGTGTTTCCCCAGAGATTCTGATTGGGGAGCAGAGACTTCCATTTGGGGAGGGGAGAGAGGCCCTGTGCTATTCTCCATGTTTCTCTGTTGAGAGACAGTGGAGGCTCTGCGTTGCCCAGGGAAGTAACACAAGGGATGAAGTTGCGCATCCTCGATGCAGATGCAGGCCGTGTAATTTCAGATCCTTCTGGTGTCTCTTAGCCTCTACCCAGCACTGTATCACCACCTTTTGAAGAGGCAGGGTGAGAGGCTCATGGTCTTACTGACTGCTGGATACTTTTTTTTTTTTCTCTTTGTAGCTGGAAGCTGAGGCTGTGTTCCGTGCCATTACCATCGCCAGCCAGACTAACTGCCCCCTCTATGTCACCAAGGTCATGAGTAAGAGCGCGGCTGATCTCATCTCACAAGCCAGGAAGAAAGGTAATTGGTGGGATCTCAAACCTCCTACTGCACCACAGGCCCCCTCCCCTCCCTTCCTGGCTGTCCACGGTAATAGAAATGGCACCTTTTCTGTTCCTTGCCTTGCTCCAGTCTACAACTGGAATTCTGAGGTTTCTCCCATCTGGTATATAAGCAAACTGAGGTTAAAAAAGGTTAAATAATTTGCCCACGGTAACAGCATGAATTCATTTCTCTGAGACTTGATACACCCCCGACTCATTTTCCATCTGTCCAGTGTCAGTTTGAATTATCTGATCTTTATAAACAGACACAGCGACCAATATTATGCTAAGTGTAGAAGTCAAAGATCCAGGTGAAATTGGCTTCAACAAGCAACTGAAAAAGCAAAGTATTGGTAGTAAATGGGAGTGATTAGCTTAGAGGTTTCAGCTACAGCATTGGTACTCTATAGCTCTCACTGTTTACTTGGTACTGTTAATACTGTTTTCTGGGTTCCCTTTCTCCCTGGTGGTTTTATGAAAAGTATTAAGAGTGACAGGAGTAGATGATATGGGGGGCGGATAGTGTAAGGTTGGGACAGGATCTTTTGTCCTCAAGTCCTGGTGAAGGATTCAATGAAGAAATGGCTCAAGCAAGTGCCTAAGCATATTGTAATTATCTTGTCTGGGGTCTGTGTACACCCCTGAAACAAAGCATGCCCCAAAGACAGCTCATCACCAGGCTGAGGTTGGGTCACATGATCACACAGGTCAGCACAAGTTAACTTAGAAAGGAGTGCGGTCAAGGCCTTTACACTGTAGTCTTCACCACTCTGTCTTCATTGCCTTTTCTGCCCTCTGTTGTGCTGTCCGCTACTGTTACCTGAGGATTGCAGTGTCTTGAGTCCCATTGCAAAGCTTTCTGTTTGAGTTTTGTATCTTGTCCTTAGTGATAGGCTCATGGGCTCTGATGTGAAGCTGTACACATAAACAGTACCATTGAGAAGCCGGGGATGTGGGCTGTGATTGTGAAATAATCATGTATTTGCTGTTGCTAGGTGCTGATGCTCATCTTTTAGCAGAGAGCCCTAAGATGAGTGATTCATCAGCTAAGTGATCCTGTGGAACTTCCATGTGGGGGTTACTAGGGGCTTAAGATTAGCCCAGCTGACTTCTGGCAGTGTTTTTCAACTCTCTTGCTTTCTGGAGAATGATGGCCCCCTTTCTCTAGGAGAGGATTCTTTCTAGGGGTCCAGATGTCTTCCTATCTGTCAGATTCTGGGTTGTTTTCCACTTCTCCATGATCATGGTAAACTGTTGTTTTTGTTTGTTTGTTTGTTTTTGTCTCTCAGCAGTTAATGATACCTACTTTGGTGACTGAGAGGCGTTCAGGAGAACCAGGAGAGCTGTCAAACTCTCCTTACTAGAAGTGGGGTGGGGAGGAGTGGGGAAAAGGAAAAGGAGAGGCCAACACATCCACCACCCAGCCCGAACCACCCATGTCACTGCTCACGCCCTCTGCTGGTGTTCGTGCCCTACCTAACCTCTATTCTCAGAGTAACCAGGGGAACCCTGAGGATGGATTGTTTCCATGGGTATGCTGCCCTTCATATTCATGGTAGAAACTTGTTTCCATTACCCCTCTGGCTTGTGATTTTCTGGGAAGGAGAACTCACAAAGCTACAAGGTGAAGAGGATGTGTAACTCTAACTCGGTGACAAAACGGGCTGGGGATACTGAAGCTGGGAACATCTTTTGGACAGCAATTCTCAGGGAGAATCCAGAGGACCTCCAGCAGGAAGATGGAGTATGGGTTTATTCCTTCCTCCTGAATCTTTTGCTGTTCAAGTCACAAGGAATCTCATGACCCATCACCAGTGCTCTTTAAGAACTCTGATGCTCTAACTAATCTTAAAAAGTTACAGCTCAAAGCTGGGCAAGGGGTTGTCTCTCTGTGCAAAAAGCACTTATGTAGAAGCTCTCTCTCTCTCTCTCTCTCTCACACACACACACACACACTCACGCATGCACACACACACACACACACACACACACACACACAGAGAGAGCGCAATACGATGAAATGCTGAAATTAATATTCTAAATGCAGAGTTCTTAGCTCTGAGGCATGTGATGGGGGCATTATTATCACCCTGCTTTGAATGAAGAAATTGATGGAATTGGGTGGTCAGTTCAGTTTTCAAACTCAGATATAATAGAGAACTTTAGTTTCTTCAACATCTCCTAAAAGTAGTCCCAAGGGACAGTTGGTCCTCTCTTAAGGATGTGTTTCTGGTAATAGCTGCTTTCCTTGAATTTTACTTCCCCATTTCTTCCCAGTCCTATATTTTTGTCAATCTTTGTTAACACCATCCCTTAAGGCAGGGATGCACATGTGAACTATTGACATTTTCTTCTTCTTCTCCTCTTCTCCTCCTCCTTTTTCTTTTTCTTTCTTTTTTTTTTTTTTCCTGGTAGACATCACTAATCAATCATGGATACTTTCTAGTGAAACTAGAAGCATTGATAGAATTCTCCTCTTATGTAGTATTCCAGGATATCCTTACCAATTGGTTGAAATTGAAATGAGGCCAAATCTCTTTATACCCTCACCCGTGAAAGCCCCTAGAACATGATTGTGCAAACTCTGATGGCAGAAGGCAGAAAAAGATGAAGGTTAAAGATGCCCAAGGCTTATCAGCATATCCTGTCTGAAGACCCTGATGCAGAGAAACGAGGGACCCTACCAGCTTTGGGGAGAATCATTTCCTTCTGAATCACTATCACTTAAAAAAAAACATTCAATACAAGATCATTACAGCATCCAGTGGCCAGCTCCATCTTAATTCTGGGTCTCCAAGACACTGTTTGTCATAGTGATAAATGCATAGCCTAAGGAAACAATAATTTAAAAACAAATGACCTTGTAGCAGAAGTTCCCAGCAACGTGGAGCACACTCAGGACTTTAGGCCTCCACAATGGGAAAGTGTAAACAGGAAAGAAATTAGTATGGGGGAGTGGACTCAGTTGTTAAGTCTGCCTTATAAGCATGAGGACTGAGCAACAAGCTGGCATGGTGGTCTGCTCTTATAGGCATATGCTCTGGGATGATGAAGACAAGAGGACCCCTGGAACTTGCTGGTCGGTTAATCTTGTCCAGTCGCTGAGCTGCCAATTCAGTGAGAGACCCTGCTCCAAAAAATAAGATGGAGGACAATGGAGAAAGGCACCCAGCAGTGACTTCTGGCCTCTACACCCATGTGTACAGATGCATAAATACCTTCCAAAATGACTTGTACTCACATACAAAACACACACACACATACATACACACACACACACACACACACACACACACACACGTAGTTAGCATTTATTGAGCATCTACCATGTGGCAAGCCCTTCCTGTATGCTAAGCCCTCTCACATGTCTGGGAAGTAAACAGCATCCCATATCGTCAGTTCTAGGACAGACTGCTTTGACATTTTAGTGTTTCAAAATCAGCATGGTTCTTATTATCTGTGTGATTAGTATATAGTTTTATTTTCTTCCAGTCAAATTTAAAATTGCTTTCAGACTGTGAGGTTTACTGCCACACCTTACAACTAGTGGCTTCTTCTTATTTATTGAATACCAATTTGTTCACATTTCATAGAAATACAGATTTAAAAAGCTATGAATAGAAACTCGAATCCCAGGGTTGCCTCATTCCAGAGACAATGCCTGGAGAGTTTAAAATTCTAATTAGATAAGCTGTACTGGAGGCGTATATATTTCTTGCAAACCTGACATCCACTCCTTCCAGGAAATGTGGTCTTTGGTGAACCCATCACGGCCAGCCTCGGAATAGATGGGACCCATTACTGGAGTAAGAACTGGGCCAAGGCAGCTGCATTTGTGACATCCCCACCACTGAGCCCTGACCCAACCACACCTGACTACATCAACTCCTTGCTGGCCAGGTTGGTGCAGGAATTACCGTGTGTTCTGTAGAGTCATCTGGGATGGGGGCTGCAGGAGTGTGGTCTAGATTGCAGCTGAGACTCTCCAGCAGCAAATTCTTCCACAGTCTTGAGTACAGAAAACTGGTTCTACTACACTACAGTTCAATTGATGACACAGCTCCAATGTGAATAATGGTCCTAGCAGTTGATAACTGTTATGTGCCAAGCTTGTGCTCACCCTTGTCCCTCTTAACAACTTCATGAGTGAGGTACTATTATTACTATTTTTCCAGATTAAGCAACTTATGCTCAAAGCTCTTAAAGTTATTTGTCAGAACTCAAAACATTTGTCATGATGACACTTAGCCAATAATTTCAGAGAGACTCAAAATCAAGCTACTAGTCATTTGAGTCCTTATATTTTTACAAGTGTGTGTGAGTGTCTGTGTGTGTGTGTGTGCGTGTGTGTACCAGCATGCACGCCTACATGCAAATGCTTGCCTGCTTGTCTTTATGTGTACCTCATGTGAAGTTGCCTGCAGAGGCCAGAAGGAGGCATAGGATAGCATAGAATTGGGGTGAGCCAATTGCAAGTCACCTGATATGGCCTCTGAGAACCAAATGTGATCCTTTCGAGCACCAGCAGCAGCAGCAAGTGCTAATAACCTCTGACTCATCTTTCCAGCCCTCGTTGAATTATTTGTTATTTGTCACAGAAGGCATGATCTAATTCTACTTCCTTGCTTTCTGGATGCTTAACTGAGCCCAGAGAGGGAGGAAATTATCCAGGCTCACTCAGACAGCTTAGTAAGTGACAGAGGGACTTCAAACTGGACATGATTCTGTCTCCAGTGTTCTCAAGCTGTCTCTCTTAGTCATGTAACACTTTCTCCTTTTCCAGTGGTGATCTGCAGCTCTCTGGAAGTGCCCACTGTACCTTCAGCACTGCCCAGAAAGCCATCGGGAAGGACAACTTCACAGCTATCCCTGAGGGCACCAATGGTGTGGAGGAGCGTATGTCTGTCATCTGGGACAAGGCTGTGGTAAGGGACTAAGGTAGTCAAGGGAGGGTGACCTAGGCTAAAAGCAAATGACCAAACCAAAGCCCCAGGCACCAATCAAGCTAAGACACTTCCCTCAGGGCAGTGCCCTAGAGAGGATGCACATGGTGAAGATGAGGTTTAGGCATGCTAAAATGTCCATGGATCCAGGTAGCTCCTGAGGGTTAGAACTCAATACATACAATTCCTTTGTCTGCTCACATGAATGATCTGTGCTTAAGATAACAGTGCATCCATTCTTTGTGTTTGAAGAACTTTATAACTAACATTGAAAGGGTTAAATATGCTTTGATATGACATCTATGCCTAAAGACACCAAGTCACACCAAAAGCTTCCCACACTGAGGGTGTTAGAACACCACCAGGCTACATAAGAAATAGACTCTCAGTGTCTCTTGGCCAAGAAGCACTCCCAAAGATTTTAGTAAAACATTAAAAAAAAAAAAAAAAAAAAAAAACACATTGTACAGTTCCTCCCCCCCCCCCCATGTGTAATGCCAATAGTGTCTCTGAACTAACACCTCATTCATCTACATGGGAAACCCGACCAGACTCTTGTTCTTGACTTCTAGGAAGCCATCTTAGTCAGGGTTTCTATTGCTTGAAAAAAACATTAAGACAAAAAAAGCAGCTGGGAAGGAAAGGGCTTATTTGGCATTGTTCTTCATCACTGAAGGAAGTCAGGACAGGAATTAAAACATGGCAGGATCCTGGAGGCAAGAGCTGATGCAGAGGCCATGAAGGGAGGCTGCTTACTGACTTGCTTCCCACGTCTTACTCAGTCTACTTTCTTATAAAACCCAGGACCAGCAGCCCAGGGATGGCACCACCCACCATGGGCTGGGCCCTCCCCCATTGATCACTAAATGAGAAAATACCTTACAGCTGGATCTTGTTGCAGCATTTCCTCAGCTGAGGCTCATTTCTCTGAAGGTTCTAACTCGTGTCAAGTTGACGTACAAAACCACCCAGTGCATAATCTTAAGGCTGAGTTTGAAAACCAATTCTTTCTACACTTAGCCTTTGTTTCATGAAAAGAGAAAGTAAAACCTTTCTGTCTCTTCTCACATGGTTGGATTTTGTCTATTTTTTTTAAATATTTATTTTACACCCTGACCACAGTTTCCCTTCTCTCCTCCTAGCCCCTTTTCCCACCTTCCCTCTGCACCCCTCTAACCCACTCCAGTGGATATCAGCATAGCATGGCTTATCAAGTTGCAGTAGGACTTCCCATCATATTAAGACTGGATGAGGTGACCCAGTATGAGGATAAGGGCCCCAAAAGCCAGCAGAAGAGTCAAAGACAGCCCCTGCTCCCACTGTTAGGAGTCCCACGGGAAGACCATGCTAGACAGCTGTAACACATATGCAGAGGACCCAAGTCTGTTCCTTTCAGGCTCCCTGGTTGGTGGTTCAGTCTCTGTGAGCCCAATGGGTCCAGGTTAGTTGGTTCTGTGTGTTTTCTTGTAATGTCCTTGACCCCTCTGGCTCCTACAATACTTACTCCCCCTCTTCAGCAGGATTCCCAGAGCTTGGTATGTTTGGCTGTGGATCTCTGCATCTGTTTCCATCAGTTGCTGAATGAAGCCTCTCTGATGACAATTGGGCTAGGCACCAATATCTGAGTATAGCAAAATATTATTAGGCATCATTACATTGATTTTTCCCCCTCTGGTTGTGTTTTGTTCTATTCTAGGTCTCTGGGCCAAATAGCTTCTGGGTCCTGGCACTCCAGGAAGTGTCATGGGTGGGCTCACTCTCGTGGTGTGGGTCTCAGGCTGGAGCAGTCATTGGTTGGTCACTCCCATAATGTAATACCTTTACAGATCCTATCTGAATTTGTTTAAGATTAATATAAGGCTTATATATGCTGTATGCAAATATTCCTGTCCATATGAAGTCCGTAACTGGTCCCCTAGTGATATCATAGATGACTTCCTGTGTAAGAGAACTCTGTGATGGTCGCCACTCGCACATGTCTCAGAACATACCCCCATTCTTTAGCAGGACTTAACTTTAGTTTTTGAATTGGCAACATGCCAATTCCCAGAAACCCAGAAACCTCAGACAAACATATACCTGAAAAAAGACCTAATTCTTTAACACAGGCCTATACACTGTCACCAGCTGTAAGACTCTGAACATCCATCTTTTGAACATACAAATATGTACATGTACCTGAAGAATGAGCTCACACTCACAATTTGTTACTGTAAATTCTGCTCTTTTTTTTTTTGGAATTATTAGATGTAAATGCAAGTAAACTATATGTACACAGCTAGGAAAAATGTATTCTTCAGGAGAAGTCACGTCTATGTTCAGTAGCATGCTTCTACATTTTCCCTGTGGAGTTCAGACTAGCCGGCTGACCCCGACCCCTCCCAGCTTGCTGGATAGATGGAATCTGTGCACAGTACCTTTGGACTCCTGGACCTTTGTGGTCCTTTTTCTCTGAGCTCAGAAGCCTTGCCCTGATAGAGCTGCTACAGACCTGGAGACAGGCACAGACATGCAATCTCTGTATTTCAACAGGCCACGGGCAAGATGGATGAAAATCAGTTTGTGGCTGTGACAAGCACCAATGCTGCCAAGATATTCAACCTGTACCCACGCAAGGGGAGAATAGCTGTGGGCTCTGACAGCGACCTGGTCATCTGGGATGCAGATGCTGTGAAGATCGTCTCTGCCAAGAACCATCAGTCGGTGAGGCATTGGCTGGTGGGATGGAGAATGTGTACAGAGCTGACTTGGAGGGATAAGCTCATGGGGTGGTCCAGTCTCAGAGACCAGGATGGACTGCAATAGTCATCTAGCCTGAAAAGCTTTTTTGTTTTGTCTTTGTATTCTTTGTGGTTTTGAAAGCAAGGTCTCCTGCTCAGGCAGCTTCAAATTTGAATTGTTGATAACCCTATGTTTGCCTCCCAAGTGCTGGTATAAGAGGCACGTTCTCTCACAGGCCAGTTTGCCTTGAGTTTTATGTAAGAAAACCTTTAACTGTTTATATCATTCTCCTGTTTTTCTGAGGGAAGAAATCAGCTGAGGGGCTCTGCCCTTCCAGGCCACTCAGGGTTAGAGGTATAGAGAAGAAGCTCCTTCTTACATGCTTCCAAGATGGCAGAGGCTCACATAGACTTTCTGTTTTGAATGAAGAGAAAGTTAAATATCTTCATTATTCACGTCCATTCTCCTAGGAGATCGAAACCCAAGTCTAATATCTTAAAGAAGTACTGAGTACTTGGTAGTAAAAATAATTCTTGAAGAGGCCTTGCTTTCTATTACATGAATCTCATGAACAGTGGGTACATTTGGGCGGGTACTGTTACCTTCTTTTTGTAGTTTTGCTTAATTCCTAGAAATGCACAGAAATAATTTATGTAGCCGGTGGTGGACCTGACATTCAAATCCTAGAACCAAGCCAGTGCCCCCAACCCCTGCAATGCTGTCTTCCTACTGAACAAGTGAGGAAGATAGGCAGAAATCCGATTTTGGGTAATAATGACCTTTGCTTAAACAACAACTCACATCATGTCTTGGGATTTTGTGTTGGGCAGGGCCAGGGGGCCATGTGTCACTCCACACACCTCTCAGCATAGGGTCTATATGCATCAGCATCCCTTGTTCTTATAGATAGTTGAGTTTGGAATACAGCCAGCAGTGGTAGAAATAGAATTTCAATGAAAGATCTTAGTATAAGTGAGACACTTTGCTTTGCTTCAGGCATCATTATCCAGGCTGTGTCAGTCTCCTGTTCCTTATCAAACCAATCAGGTGTGTACTTTGCCTGGCTTTACTTAGTGACTCAGTTCCTGGAGATACTGAAGGCAGGGTCCAAAACATGGAAGATTACCCCTTTCCTCTTTCTTTTTGTCCTATACCCACAGCCTCACTTTGTCTTCCTCCCTGAATCTAGGTTGCAGAATACAACATCTTTGAAGGGATGGAGCTGCGTGGGGCACCTCTGGTGGTCATTTGCCAGGGAAAGATCATGCTGGAAGATGGCAACCTGCATGTGACCCAGGGGGCTGGCCGTTTCATTCCGTGCAGCCCATTCTCTGACTATGTCTACAAGCGCATTAAAGCCAGGAGGAAGGTGAGTGCCAATGAGGCCAAGGGGTTAAAAAGGGCTTGGGGCCCCTGGGATGGAGAGGACCAGTCTTCGTAACCTTCATAGTGAAAGCCACAGCAGCGGTTTGGTGCTGAGGAAATGGTGCACAGAACTCTCAGGCTACAAGAAAGACCTCTAAAAGTGTTTCTGTTTCCCCAAATAATTTCTCCACATTATTATAGTACTTCAGTTTAAAATTGGAAGGATTTGATGTAATGATAGTATATTTTCATAGAAAAGTTATTCCCAAAGGCTTAAACCTTAAATCTCTTTTCCAGCCTGCCCAAGGTTGCTCTGTTAGACAAAGTGCCCACAATTCTCCTTTCTCTACCCCCCACTTTCTTTCTTTCTCACTCACCCCCATACTACATACAGACAACACGCACGCGCGCGTACACACACACACACACACACACACACACACACACACACACACGCACGCACAGTAATTTGGGTTGATGTAGAGATAGGACCAGGCCATTTCTTTCAAAGTCCCTCTGCTTTCTCTCTGACTTCCAGATATTCTTGGAACTTGCGTCTACAAAGGCAAGTTAGACTAGGCTCTGAGACTGAGATGGAGGTGTCAGCTCCCTATACCAGTTTTGTTTTACTAGAAAAGGGAATAAAAGTCAAACTTCCCCAGTATAGACTTTTTATTATGACTTAGATTCTGGAACCAAAGAAATCTGTAGCTATAGTATTACTGGGTGAGGAGCACTGATGCATTTCTCATCCCATGAGTGATCACTGCACAGAAGGCAGGGCTAGGGCTCCATAGGAGGTCTCATCCTGGACCATCTTCACTGTCAGGCTTATGGGGATAAATGTCCCCACTGCCACACTATGGGGGGGGTGATGTGATGGAGCTTGCATCCAGGCTGTGCTGGCACCTTGGGTGGTCTCACCATGTTAATCTCATAGACCACAAATGCCTCTGGGGGACACAGGATGATTCACAAAGCTATAAGCCCAGCTCTTGGCATAATCCCAGCACAGAACACATAGTTGATTGCTATTGCTGACTGGCTGCACAGTCCCCAGGCAAGTTCACAGCCAAAGGGCAGTGGGTCAGACCACAGACTCTAAGTTTAGGGCTTCACAGCCCTGGCATGTAAAAAGCCCTGAAAAGTCATGGGTGGGTCTCCCATGGGATCCCATGCCCACAGTATATGCGACCTCATCTAAGATGCCTACCCTTCCTGATGACTTTTCTCCAGCTGTCCTGATAGTACAGTTCTTTTCTATCGAGTTCCTACTTCCAGTTAGCTGTCTTTGCTCATCCCTCTGCTGCCACCATCACTGTCTACACCAGAGCTTAGTGTACACTCAGCCATTTCCCTCCCCCAAGCCCAACATCATCAAAGGGTCATCCGATCCTAGAATACCTGGGAGTTGAATAACCCTTTCACAGGGGTTTCCTAAAATCATTGGAAAATACATATTCACATTATGGTTCATAACAGTACCAAAATTACAGTCATGAAGCAGCGGTGAAAAAATTTTATGGCTGGGGGTTACCACAATATGAGAAGCCGTGATAAAGGGTCACGACATTAGGAAGGTTGAGAACCACTGGTCCAGATAGAATCGCACATCTACAGAGGCCTTTGTGGATGTATTTTCTCCTGGATCCCTCTCCACATACTCTTTTCACTGATACACTTACACCTCCCAGAGCACATTCTGCACTGTTCGATCTTGCAAGTAAGAATGGCTGGTGATATGTCTCTCTGGCTGCAGATGGCAGATCTGCATGCAGTCCCAAGAGGCATGTATGATGGACCAGTTTTTGACTTGACCACCACCCCCAAGGGGGGCACCCCAGCTGGCTCTACTCGAGGTTCTCCCACTCGGCCGAACCCACCAGTAAGGAACCTCCATCAGTCGGGATTTAGCCTGTCAGGTGAGTGGAATGAGCTGCTGAAGAGAGGAGGGAGGAGAAAAGACCAGCATCCCTCGACTACAAACTCATCCTGCAAACTCAAGTAAAATGCATTTCCCAGCCCAGTGCTGCTGTCCTCTGTAGGGAGAGGATCAGTATTGAGAACAGAAAAGTTTTCCTAATCAGCAAGTGGTCCTGGTAAGAAAGTCAAACAAGGCATCAACAATCAAGTTGGAGGTCAAGTTCAAAGGACAGCAAATTCTACTTAGAGATTCTGCGAGCTGATGGCAGGTTGATGGAGCTGACTCCCACTATGAATTTCTAACAGTCTTCTATATAAGTGTTTGAGAACGTGTGTGTGTGTGTGTGTGTGTGTGTTTTCAGATCTGTGTGCATAAAGCTTAGTCTAGTTTTTATGTTCCTCTGCAGCAGATTCTTCGAGCCTAATTCCCCTCGCTAGTAAAAATGATGCCAGCAATAGCATCCACTGACTTCCACTGACTGAATATTTACCTTGTGTTTCCCGTATTGCCGATCCTATCTGTGAGAATGATTGTTTGCATTGCTCCATAGTTGTCTTTGAATGGGGCGAGGTAGATGCAGGTGTGCTTCCCTGAGTGGGAAATGTGCACGTGAGGGGACATGTTTAAAGACGTATTTAAAGGTGAGGACATGGCATATGGAGACAGGAAGGGAAAGAGCAGGAGGAATAGAGACCATGGAGGAAAGGATTTAGGGAAAAACAGAAAAGGGGCTCAACGTTTTCAGATAACTTTGCCAAGCAATTGAGGTACCTACTGTCCCGGAGCGGTTTGGACTGTGTTCATCTTTGTCTATGGCCACATCAGTCCTTAAACATTTCAGAGGCTCCTTTCTGAATGGGACCAAGTACACATTAGCACTTCTAGTGGCATAAACAGGGGACCTCGACCCTCCAACTAGGAGGCCTTGGACAGGTGATCCCTTCCTCCCTCCAGCACTCCTGTCATGGAACAATGAAATAGTTTTCTCCCAAACCACAGTAGTGAGGATGCAGGGAAATAATCCACGGACTTTAACACATGGCCAGCCACAGTTAGTATAGGCAGCCATCCCCATGTTCTTGCTAATGTTATTGACATGTATAGCTAATATTATTGATATGTATAGGGCAGAATATGCATTTTCCTCCCAAGACAATATGAATATTCAAAGTTCAAGATTTAGTGTTGTGTCTTGTGCACCAGGAATGTTCTTTTTTTAATTAATTAATTAATTAATTAATTTTATATTTATTTTATATAACCAAGTCCATTTAAATGAAAACAAACATTTATAGACAATATTTGGGAATTTGGGCGTCGTTCTTTCCAAACTACTTCCTGCTGGTAAGGGGCGCTGTCATGGGGGATTCTAAGAAGATGCAGAAATCCTGGCTGTAGTCTGTAAGGCTGCTTTGTCCAGCTGTTTTGAATGTAGGAATGTTCTTAATATTATTCACTCTTAAAGTTACTCAACATCTCCCCACCCCGCTTCTTTCCCCTTGTTTCTCCCTGGGAATTTGTTTCCATCTGCAGGCACCCAAGTGGATGAGGGTGTTCGTTCAGCCAGCAAACGCATCGTGGCGCCCCCTGGAGGCCGTTCTAATATCACATCCCTGAGTTAAGCAAGCCCTCCCCAACCAGGGAGGCAGAAGCAAGAAGAGATTTTTTTGAAGCCAAAATGGTACACCGATATTTAAGAAGGGAAGTGAATCCAAACAGTTGCGATCTAAAGAATCAATAAGCCTCAAGCCTTATGTTTCCCAATGTTATGCTCGCTTGCCTAGTTTTACGAATTGCTTTGATTTCTGTTTATGCATAACCTAGATTTCTTTGACCCCCCCACTTACATGCATGCGATCAGACAGGCCACTAAGGTAGAGTCTGCATATTATAGTGTTGAGAGCATATGTAGCGCTGCATCTTACGACAAGGGGACAGACAAAGCTGGGATGTCAAGAAAATTAACAAAAGGCACGAAGGTTTCTTTGGGTGATTGGGTGGTGGGAGCCGAGGGCAAGGTGGAGGGCACAAAGGGGCTGGAGTGGGGCGTGTAGGAGGGAGGTGGGTGGGCTGGGTGAGCAGAAGGCTGTGGTGTGTTGTGATGTACGTTAATTTCCATGGAAAATAGCCACATGTGGCAACTGGATGCTTCGTCACCATCCCCTGGGATCTGTAGAGAAGGCAGGAGGTCTTTGGGTTTGGACTTTGTCACATCCTTTCCTGGTAGAGTTTGTTTCTTTCATTGCTTGTTTAATGTCAGAATCCAGCCAGATCTTGCTTCTCAATGAAGCCGTGTTTGCTTGAGCCTCTTTCTTGGGTTGCTTTCTAATATTCTTTTCTGGGTTGTGATGGCCACACACAAGAGGTCTCTTCTGCTTTCTTTGTGTTCCTCAAAGGCTGCCGTGGAGGGTACAGCACAGGCTCTGGTTGGGGGAGAGCAGTAACAATTCCACGGCCTTCCTCTCAGGCCTGGGGAGGCAGCTGTCACTCTCCTGCCTGCAAAATGAGGGGAGACACATCCTCTTGCTTGCTGAGTGGTATGACTGGCTATCCAAACACATTTGGGATTTTACTTTTTCTTTTTAACTTTTTGGGGAAAAAAAACTTTGTCAGGTTTTTTGTTTGCTTCCTTGCTTGATATTTTGTTTGTTTGTTTGTTTTTTGAGACAGGATTTCTCTGTGTAGCTTTGTAGACCAGGCTGGCCTCGAAATCACAGAGATCTGTCTGCCTCTGCCTCCCAAGCGCTGGGATTAAAGGCGTGTGTCACCACTGCCAGGCTTCTCAGTTCTTCTTAATCTTGACCTCTAATAGTAACTTTAGCTTCTATGGGAATAAAGCAGAGATTTAGGGAAGCCAATCTTGAGTAGCAGGAGTATCCTATGTATAACCAGATTTTCAGTTCTAAGTCATGTGCTTCATTTTCTACTAGCAGGTCCCAGGGGCAGGGATGTCACTTTTCAATTGGTACTAAAATCTCCAGGGTGAGATGTATGAAGTGACACAATGCACCCTTCTTGGCATGGCACATAAGGGGAGTAGGCAGAGATGTTTGCTCCCCTGTTTGTCTGTTGGAGTTGGAAGTCCATGTCCCTGTCACACTATTTCCAAAACCAATTGTGAGCCAGATTCTATGAGCAAGACAGGGGTCTGGAGAAGCCTGTAGACTCTCCTGCAAGCAATATGCTATCACCCTTGGCTCAGACTTCAGACTTGGCTCTCTTGGTAAGAAACATCACATTGTCTACTAAGTACTCTGAAGATCAGAGCAGGGCTCACACACCTTCTAAGTACTTAGGAGAAACTGTCATCTCTGCCTGCTGGTGTGTTTTGTTTGTTTTGTGTTTTTGGCGGTGGAAGGTTTTTGTTTATTTTGTTTTATGGAGCTGGACAATGCAGTCCAGGGCCTGTCACCTGCTAGGCAAGCACCCTGCCACTGTGCTACGCATACATGGGGCCTCCAGCCCTGACTGCAGGTTGTAATGAAACTAAGAAGTAGAGAGACATGAACGGCTTGGCTATGAAGGGATTTGGAAGTAGCAGAGGAAGAGGGTCTCCCTGAGCAAGCTGGTTTCTGCTGCAATCGTGGAAAAGGCTCTTTGAACTTCACGATAGGGAATCTTGCTGTTTAGAGCTCTTATGGTGCTTTCATTCTAACGGAAACCTCAGCAGAAGAAAACGAGGGGAGTGTAGTCTTGAATTACAATTCGAAGACGTGGGAATTTCTCCAGGAAATTCAGAATGACTTTTATAGGGAGGTTTCCATATCTGAAGCAAGTATAACATATACCTCAATAGCCAGGCTTGACTGCAGCATAGGTTGTAGTACCAACAGTAGCCACCAGATGGAGGAAGAGACATGTAAACTAATTCTGGGCTACCACAACAATGTGGTTTCCCACACCTGAGACCAACTGGTCCTTCCTGGGCCTCTCTGGTCAAGAAAAATACCCTTCTCTGGGCCACTTGCACTGCACTTGAGACTTCCAAAATGTGCCACTGTGCCGAAACGTTGTTCCACTCAAGCGTTCCCTGTGTGAGGTTCAGCTTTTTGAAGCTCTCAAGGTGGGCCAGCACCATCCAGGGACACCTCCCTTTTTTCAGTCATTATTAGTAACACCTAAGCATAGAAATTCCTGAGAATTCCTTGATGACTCCCCCACTATTTTCTTAACATAAGAATTTTCTAAGCAACAGGTTTCCTGAGTTAAAATTTCGTATTGAAATTGGTTCTGCTGCATAGATACATCGGATAGCCCCTGTCACTGCATTTTGGGAAGGAAAATGCAAGAACTAGGGGCTTCCTCCAAGCTCACTGGCGATCCATCCAAGGGAGCGAGGGCTTGTTGGGCACTATCTTCTCTCAGGAAGCTTTGTAATGTGGGTTTTCACCCAGCCTCTTCTAAGAATGCCATGTAATCTATTGACATTTGTCTGAAAGGGCCATGGGCTTGAGTGGTTGAGAAGACATTTGTGGAGAAATTAAGTCAGCTTCCCCAGCAGAGATATGTCTTTGGCTTCTCAGTTTGTTTTTTTTTTTTTTTTTTCCCTACTAGAATTAGTCATCCTCCAAAATAGCCTCTCCCCTCCTTCAAAATGCTCCTTCATGACGACGCTCAGAGGTCTCATCTCATCCCCAAGGTCTGAATCCTAACTCTGGCTTCCATTCTGCTCACCCTGTCAAGTCCCTTCCAAGAATCGAGTGCTTCCCAATTTTGATTCCTGGCCCAAGCCCCGGGGTCTTCCCCTCTAGACAGCCCAGCTTGTGTCCAGATGCAGCCATGGGCTGGCCCAGGCAGCCAGCCTTCCTCGTAATTCCCCTTTGAGACATGGTGTGTGGGTGTTCAGTTCTGTGTCTGGTGGCTATGGACAGACAGTGCGTCTCCCTGTGACCTGTGCTAGCTGTGAGACAGCTCGGAAATGGAAGAGCTGTTTGGTTTGAACCGTGAAGAAAACTGTGTATCGAGTTAGCTGAGATTAAAGAGAAAAAAAGCTCTTCAAGTGACTGTTAATGTAAACCTGGTTATTAAAATAATCATAAAATTACCAACATCGTTTCCCAGTCTTTTGTGCATGCAATACTATTTTACCTACTACACTGAGACTCTGGGAGGCTGCGAAAATTACTCAGTGAGTAAGAGTGCCTGCCGTGTAGGAACAAGGACCTCCGTTCCAATCCCAGCATCCACATAAAAAGCCAGGGATGACCACCATGTGTTAGGGTAGGATAGTGGATAGTTAAGTTTATTGACTCCACGTTTAGTGACAGACCTTGTGTCCATGAGAGAAAGTGATAGAGCAGGGCAGCTGATGTCCTCCTTTGGCCTCCAGGATCATGCACACGGATGAATAGCCACATATAAATAAATGTACACATTTAACACACGAACACACACAACACACACATACCACATAAACACACACAACACAACACACACACCACATAAACACACACACAAGGTGAAGAGAAAGAACCCCCTTAATAAGACTAGTTGGTAGATAAACAGCAGACCTGATAACAACAGAAGTAACTGCAGACAGTTTTCAAGGAGATCGAACTGTTGGCCATTGACCTGACACTGGCAGTCAAACTTTGGAGAATAATTAAGGTTTCCTGATAAGCAATCACACTCATTATTAGAGTAAAAAAACATATATTGTGGGATAAATGTAGCTGACTCTAAGACAAAACTCTAAAAGGTCCTATTGTACTTTCGTGTGTTTTTGTCTCCAGCCAACCCTCATTGTTATACTGTTCCGAAGCCTAGCCTTGGAGGGAAAACTCCCAAGTAAATCCACACTATTTTTTTTTTTCTTCAAGCTGATCTCAGAGTCCAATGAGTGTCAGTAAAAAACTGCTGGCTGTGCCCACTTCTGAGAGTTTCCCCATGCATTAGGAAGTCAGAGGTTCTGATTAGTATAATGAGTCTTGAAATGTTGTCCAGGCTTGGGGATTCATATCCCTAGCAGACAGATGACCCTCAGTTAGTTCCTCGGCACTACATAAACAGAAAAAAAAAAAAAAAAAAAACCCCACAACAAGGAAATCAAAGTTCAATTCAGAGCTCTGAGATCATTTTGGTTCTGGACCACCACTCTCCCTGTTGGGAAACATCCTGGATAAAGTTCTCATTTATATAGGGCATTCAATGGTGAGGTGTTCACTGGTACATGGGTGGGGCTAGAAGTGGGATTTTAGGATGCCTGAAGAGATCGCATGAAGTCAGTCAGACATGACAGGAATTGCTAAATGTAAGTGATGAACCCAGGCAGCTTTCCATTTGAGCCCAGCCTTTCTAAAGAGGTGCTTCTACGTTGGTAAAGATCATTCCTTGTGGAGGCAAAACCAGTCATTGGCATCTCTAGGTTTTTGTTTTCCCTTCCTAGTGAACCCAGAAGAGAGAGACCCTCCATTTTCTCAAAGATGATGTACCTTTGGTTACCCCCAAGGCTAGTGAAACATGTCTCCCTTCTCATGACCATGGAACAGCTAAGCCTATTAAATGATTTGAATTTAACAGGCTTTAAAAGGAGCCATCAGCACTTACAACAATCTTTGTTGGAATGCAGTGTTCTGGGAGGATGGAACAGTTTGTAAAACAAACAAAAAAACATTGATGACAGAGTCATATCGGCTAACTTTCATACTTATGGAGTCTGGAAATACCCGGGAGTTGGGACACACTTGACCAAGTCAGGAATGAGAATACTGAATGGGAATGAGAAATAAAAGGACTTTCTGTTCCAAAGAACTTTTGAGAATCAGCTTTCCTAACACTAAGCCATCCCAGAGAGAACAAAAACCAGAGAAGAGGATGGGAAATAAGGGGGCCAGAGCAACCTGCAAAATGAGATCACTGATAATCCTAAGGCTGGCCCTCTTCAGAATCCAGAGTGCTGGGTCCTGACCTTTGCTTGGATGGCTGCTTAGACCAGCATACAGGACACTTAGCATGGCCTGGGCAACAGGTCAGCAGGAGTGTAGGACTTGAGAACCCACAAACTCCAGGACAAGCCCAGGAACCTGCGGCTTGCTGACTGTGGAGCTGCTGTGAGCCCATGAATTAGCTGACTTCCTAAAGTGCCTGTTAATCTATCTCAGCTTATGGGCCTTGGCATAAACACCTGTGGCTATGGCATAAGGAAAGAATCAGGACCCTGAGGGGCAGAGAACATCCCCAAAGCGACTTTGTAAACCTGAGGTCACAGTAAAAGGCTGAAGGCGGGATACTGGTGGCACACCCTCAGGGAGGCCACTAAAATGTACAGACACAGATCTCCGATGCTATCCCTGCTAAAGGCACGTCCTACTCAATGGAAATGGACTAAGAACAGGTGACCTGGGATGGCCAAACACACACAGCTGACAAAGGAAGGCTGAGGGCATGTTGTTACGGACGACATTTTAATCCATGCATTTACATCACATATGCTAGACTCAACAGAAGCACACATTTTTTTTTTTTAAATTTTGTTTTGGTGTGTGCAGGGGTTGGGGGGGGGGGTTGGGGGACTTCTAAATCAGCCACCAGTTCAGAAGAGCACAGAAAACTGAAATTTTGAGTCTCAGTGTCTAAACATTGGTCAGATATACTGAACTCAGGGTGAATAACAATCACAGGTAGACAGAAGTAGGAGACAGATTTTGTGTGGACAGAGCACAGAGACACGGAGGAGCTGAGCAAGGTGCTTGCCATACCTGTTCACTGAGTGACTGAGGCTTTGAAGCTTAGCATCCCTGCCAACCTCAAACAGCAACATGGTCTCAATAGCCGATCAGCACTCTTACATGGTCTCAATAACAGCATCAGCACTCTTTTTCCTAGTTACTTATTCACACACCCACTAGGAAAGCCATAGCAGTAGAAAATCCAGTCATTTCTGAATTTCCAGTAATTAATTAGACTACTGTGATTTCTACAGCAATGTTCTTTGCTGCTTGAGATTCACTGTTGTCCTAAAGATGATCTCAGCTAACACGGGGTTTGCTGTGGGGCCGTTGGCCGTTGTAGGGTACTTCTTTCTAGGGAGTGGGGAACATGGCCACGATTGCTCTGTGGGTAAGGCTGTCCCACCTCTCAGCTCTGGGTCCCTGGGAATGCCCTGGAGATGGCAGCTCACTGCAGTGCAGGGGAGTGGTGTCACAGCAAGGACACTTTAGTTTTCAAACCCCGCTCAGGCCTTTCAGATGCTCTGTACAGTATGGGAGGAAACTGCTAGGAGACATTCTGTGAGTAGCAGAACAAAAGGATAGAGTAGTCATACTGTTTTCTGAAGTTCTTGACCCTAATTCTTCTCAGAAGTATAGTTAAGTTTCTTTGGGAGGGGGAGAAAGTGCTAGCACTTAGCTCAAACTAGGGAATAAAACCAAGAAATAATCACCAGGAGCATTTGGAGAGGTTTTGTAGTTTTAAAGTCTCTTTAAGTATTCAAGAGTGGACAATGTCCAGAATCAGTTACTCCACACAGCCAGACGCAGTAATTCTGTTTCTCCTGGTGTTGTGGATCTAAGCCAGGCCTTCGTGCATGCTAAGCACATAGTCTACTGCTGAGGTACAGACCCAGCAATGAAACACATCGGGTGCCACTCATCTGGCACTAGAAATCAACCCAACTCCCACACTGTGCTATAACTGGCTCATCCCAAGTTCTGAAAGCTGGCAGCACTCAGGAAGACACTCAGGGGCAATAAAAGCTACGGATTACAACTTCAGAGACCTCATGGATTCTTAGCTCCACCTTAATGTCTAAAGTGCAAAGCAGTCCACATCATCCTGGTGGACACCTGTTAGCCCTGCTGTCCTTGGGGAATCATTTCTGAAAGCTACTGTTCTGGGGGGGGGGGAATGCTAACAAGATCCAGGAGGAGGAGGCAGGTGAAGGAAGGTGAAAGCATAGCACATCAGGCCCTCAACACAGACAGACAGACAGACAAAAGGTGGAAGCTGGAGCATGTGTGTGTCCCTGTCACTTGTTGAGGTGTCAGCCTGGAGCACAATTCAGTCACCTCGATGTTGCTATGTTTGACCCATTCACCTCCCTGAATGTCAGGGAAAGGGCTTTGAATTAAACAGTGACTAAACCGAAAGATCACACATGAGAATGTCAGAGATAGAAGTTGAGTAGAGGAGGTGATTTGTGATTCTTTAAAATTTATACATACATACATATATATGTATGTATGTATGTATGTATGTATGTTGCTATTAGTAGAGAGGCACTGTAATATAGCCATAGCAGGAATTCTGGAGAACAGTAAATACTGCTCTTAGTTCAATTCCTGCCTTTCTACATAAATTTAGTTGCCACAGTGTCATCAATTTCCATCTGTCTGCCTTCCTCAAATGACATCCATCAGGTCACTTGGGCCAGCCTGCTGTCATCTTAGTGACCACTAGATGGCCTCAGTTTCAAGGAGTTGAGAACAATGCTCTGTAACGCTAACCAGTGGGGCTCCCAAAAAGGCTCTTCTAAGATCTCCTTTGCATCAGCACAATGGGGTTATATCACGCTCACATTTACATTTTTTTTCACACAATTGGAATGTAAAGACAGGAAAGGGCGAGACATCAGTAATATTTTTAAGTAGCCAGGCAATTCTTGCCAGCCTTCTCACAGTGAGTATACTGAGGGAGCATCCATCTCCCTGAATTTGACCTCTGGGATGTGTAAGCACGCTGTTGCTTTAAGTGTAATTCTAATCTTGGCCATGTGTAAATTGTCCCATATTTTAGTTGGCCAATATGAAAAATAAATGACCAAACAAAACAAAACAAAAGGTGACATATTTCATGACAGCAAAGCAATGGCTAAGTTTTCCTCCCCTTCTGCTACACAGAGTTAGGAGTTGCTCAAGGGAAAGTTTTTCCAGTTTCCTGTTCTAAGAAGCAAGGTAACTCTCCTGTAAGGTACAGCTTCTCTGAACTGTTGAAAGCAGCCCTGCCTTCATTGGAGCAGCACTCTCGGACCCTCTCCTGAGGAAAATTAGTCCTCAAGGGGCATGCATGCCAGAGAAGAGTGAGTGCAGTCCAGTATTTTACAACTGCCATGGTGAAAGTGTCACAGATTGCAGTATTTACCAAACTTCTGCACATGAGACTCCTTTCAATCAGTACCAAGTTCAACTGAGCAAGGCCCTATCACTGAAAAGTTGAGAGGGCAAGAACTTGGGCACAGTAGGCCCTTTCTAACAGGTACTATGCCAACATAGAATCCCACTGCAAGGGACTATGAGTTTTTATTACTCCTAATCTGACCTATATTTATTCCCTCTGGAATACCTTTTTTCGGTCTAACCAGGCCTTGGAATTCTGGCCTCTGTCTGATATTCTCTAGCCCTGAAGAGGCTCACTGTACACAATGTCACTATGTCATCAGAAAGAATGAAAAAATAAACCTACATTCAAATATGCATTCAAAAATGAAGGTAAAGGCTGTTTGGAACGGTAACTGTGGCATGAAACAGACTAAAGGCTAGCTCCTGTGGAAGAGCCCTGCGGAGACAGTGAACTCAGACAGAGGGAGGAGTCCAGTGATTAAAGTCGCAGAGTTAATGAGTGGTGAAACCAGATCAGAGGAGCCCAGGACCAGTAGAGTGTTGCCACCTTGGAAGGGCATTCATTCACATTCTCTATGTCATGAGGTGTGGTGAGGTAAGGGCTGCCGTTAGCTCATCTGGAGGCGATCATCAGAAGTTTCTGGCCAGGTGCTGGGAACGGTCCCCCAAAGGTGATGAAGCTTCATAGGTTGTTATTCTGGCCATCCTCCTCTTCTGTGTTGTTTCTGGTTGGTTCCAAGGGCACATTGGCTTGTCTTTGATTAAAGTCTCTTTTTACTCTTAGGGAGAGGGAGAGGAAGGGGGAGGGGGAGACAGAAAGAGTTGTTCAAAGGAAAAATGAACTTAAACTTTTGAAATGATAGCATATAATCCAATAATTTTTGGATATTTTAAAACTTAGTAAAATATAATTATATGATTTCTCACTTCCCAACCCTCTTAAGCCTGACTTGACCCCCTTCCAAATCCACCACCTCCTCCTCTTTAACCATTGTTGTTACAAATACAAATGATTGAATATGTAAATACCACCTGCGGAGTCCATTCAGGGTTACTTCAATTTATAAAGAGGTGTGAGCTAAGAAGACTCTTAAAAAGTCACTGTTGGGCTGGCAAGATGGCTCAGTGGGTAGAGGCGCTTATCAATGAGCCTGACATACTGAGTTTAATCCCTAGGACTCACAGGTGGGAGGAAGGAAATGGCACCTGAAATTTGTCCAGTGGCTACCCCCATCCTCCCAAATACTAAAATAAAAACTTTTTAAACAGACACTGTGTTTACATTCCAGTTCCCATAGGCAAAACTACAACACCAGAATTATTTATCAGTTAAAAAACACCGTCAGAAAAAAAGGCTCCTGGAAATTTCAAAATTTTAATCCTAGATTTGTATCATTTATATAATCATAAAAAATAAAAGCTTTTAAATACATCAAATCTCTGCAAATGAAATCTGCTTACATAGCATCATTTTAAGGTGCTGGTCTCCACCCCACCATTACTCACTTTTCTCTGTTGAAAATTATAAATTCCTTCTGAACAGCATCAAGGTGCTCTTGGAGGAGACATGTCTTCAAGGTGAACACAACAAAGAAACAGGCAAGCTTAGCTGATACATAGGGACCTCAAATAGTCAATAAACCTATATTCGGTGAGCATCCTGGATAGAAAGAGACCTGTTTCCAGATGGGAGTAGATTCTGGGAGGATGACAGGAGAGGAATCCCTCTACCAGGGCCATTGTTCTATCAGAATCAGGTACGATGACTTTGGCACTCTGGAGTATATACATAACACTTTCAGCTTCCATCCGTAAGTGCAGGTTAGTTACCGTTTCACCACAACACAGTAGCGGTTAACCCACCCTCCCTGTCCCTGTCAGGGAGTCCTGCACATGCACCTTCCCCAGCCTGTACCATACATTTTGGAAGATATGATGGGAAATTAAGATAATGTACTCCAAATCCCTGTGCTCTGGGTGCTGCTTGGAATCAAGGAGGTGCAGACAGCCTAGTGGCCATCCCTCCTCACCATCATCCCCCAACGTAGGGCAAAAGCAGGCTTCTGAGATGACCACCCCACCGCAGCTGGAATGAACTGCACTTCCCTGAGCTTGGTGGGAAACCCACCTACCTGAGAAGAGTCACATTTTCTCATCTCCTTCTCCTTTTTTGCCAGGCGCTTCTTTTTCTTGTGAAGAGGTTTGGACTCCAAAATCATTTCTTCAAGTTCAAAGGTGGGGTCACAGTTGAGCCTGCCTTTCTGTGAAGAGGAAACATGACTCAGTCCTCAGATCTTTGCATTGCTCCTAAAACGTGCCAGCCTAAGGCAGTGACTAATACTTAGTCCTAATGGGAGCAGTCCAAGTGTAATAACGTGGGCCCCCATTGAGGTTTTATAGCATTTACTGCCAGAATTGTCTTCTACATTCTCTGGCCATAAAGCTTATTTATTTTTACAAACTTCTAACTATCCCTCAGTGAGTAATGAAGGAAACCATATTAAAATAATATTCTTAAGGGCTGAGCTTCTGGGCTTCCAAGTTTGTTCCAATAATCACATAGATCAGAATCATGGCCACTGCTTGCTCAGCTTCCAAGGCCACCAACTAAATTTCAATGTCAGGATTTCTGAACATGAGGCCAAGAATCCATCATTTGGTAAGTTCTGCAAATGAATCAGAGTCACAGAAAGACCCGAGATCTCTATGGTGGAGCTTCTCACAGGAGTCAGGAGCAGCTAATTGAAGGAAGTTTGTATCTGCAGCACATGGTACTCAGGGTCCGCCATAGTCAGACACCAGCCACGCACCCAAGTATGACTCTCTCCCTACTTTCCTGCCACTCACTAAAATAGACACTTACAGCCTCAGATGTCACCATTCCACTCTCTCCTTCCTTCCACAGGACTGCCACTTGACACATAATTGAGCACCTTATCCAGCTATTCATGGAAACATCTGTGTGCCCATGTCCTCGGAACAAGTGCCCCACTTGGACATGAGCAGAAAACTCAAGTCTCTGCAGGAACACACACACTGTTCTTGCCAGTGTTCCTCTATCTAATGGTATAATTCAAACCCCAGGCAGAGAGGAGAGACGAACCTCAGTAGGACCTGGCCTGACCTTTATCGAGTAGTATACAGTGGGACACATGGTCCCTTGTTTAGGTATTTACCCAATTGGAGTTATCACTCTGTAATTATTAGTTCCTAAAACCATAGATCGGTACAATGAAACCTCAAAAAAAAAAAAAAAAAAAAAAAAAAAAAGATCCTGGGAGTGAAGTTTTGAAGTTTCCCACTATCTAACTCACAGATTTCAGATTTCCATGGACATCAAAATTCTCTTCCTTGCAAAAAGAAAAAAAAATCATTCTTTTCAACCAGCACATTTCTAGGAAAAAACTATTTGGGAGACTAGAACCTCTTGCAAAACATGGTTAAAACCTAAAAGTCCAGACGCCAACATCGCTAGACTGGGACCCCAGTTTAGCTTCTTGCCAGTTGTGTGATTTTTGGAGGTCCTCTCGCCCCATGTATCACTGTTTATGCCTCTGTAAAGCCAGTGTTGGGCCATTTTTACATGACTGGTGTGATCATCAAATGAGACCCTGCATGGAGTTGTACACAGAGCAGTGAAGACAGGGTGAGGGAATGATTAGGGCTTGTTAAACTTGACTTACGGTTGGAACAAAACCTGGAATGAGCCTCTTGTGCAGCACGGCATCCCAGTTCATGTCACTCATGTAAGGGAAATTCTGAATGTCAGTCAAGTGGGAAAATCGTTGGTCTGGATTAGGCTCAAGTAGCTGCCAATAAAATACAAGCATCATTGTCATCACACGGAAGACCAGATAGGTGGACCCCAGGAATCCCCCTAGGTGTTGTAAGCTGAGTATTCAAGGGGAGTTCCCTGTAGCAGACACTGAGCAAGAGGTTTGACAAGACAGTGATAGTGATCTCCTTCTCCCACCCACGTGCCAATCAAGTGGAGAATGTGTGCTTTGGAATAGTGGTAGAAGTAGTCTTTGCAACATGATGCCTACAAATGGCTTGTCCCGGGAATTCAACAAAACTTCCCTTCCAGGCTCTCCTACTGGGCAAGTTTGTTTCCTAAGCCATGGCTTACCAAGCTCAAATCATGAAGAACAGGATGACATGAATGTTGCTTTACAGAGCTAAGACCCAAAGCTCTGTTTTTCAAGTGTCATAAATTGGCCATCAGTTCTTTGTATTGTTGCTTTAGTCTATGACCCACTGAAGCCAGTGTGTGGTCATACTGTACCTGGCTCACCTGAAGTTCCAGACCATGTAGAACACATGCCTTCAGTTTACCAGTAGCCAAACAAGCTCAGTCACTACCCAAGGAGACACTTCCATTGACCATGTGATAGTATTGGCAGAGCAGTGTCAAAATGCTTCTCTCGGTTTCTGTACTTTACAATGGCTTTATAGAAAGCAATGTGTACACCATTGTCAGTCAGAAAATCACACTAAGTTGTATTGATCTCAGGGAAGGTGTTAGAAGAGCTAAGGCATGAAGCGGTGATCCAGGAGGAGAGAGTACCATGTGCAAAACCTGGTGGTCATATGATGGTGAGGAATGGGAGGAGAAGGCAAAACAGCCAAACCAACTAAAGGGTGACCAAAATTCACAAAGCTTGAGGGGCTCTTTATTACTGCTGCAATGTACAATTTAGTTTGATCTTTATTCAAAGAGCAATGAGAAGTCGCTGAAATGTGGCAAAGGGAACCAAAGAGAGTAGAGTGGCAGAAGCATGCAACAACTCAGGAAGGATTTTGAAAGCGTTTAGAGAAGTGCCAAGGAGGTGAACGGCAATGGCTATTGAAATGCGTATTTAGGATCGGGTAATGGACTAGATATGGAAATGGTGAGTGAGTACCAGTGAAGGAACCAGCCATTGGGAGAGAGAACACTGGAAGAGATCCAAGAAGTACAGAGAGATTAAGAATTACATTTTGAACGTGATGCATCTGAAAAGGGCTTGAGACGTCCGAAGGCACTTGTGGATTGAACTAAGAATGCCGTGTATTTTAAAATGGTTAGTCACAACGACCGTTCTACCAGTGGGTGTTATCCTGACCACATCTTGACTTCTAACCATAAGCCAGGATGTCCATGTCATTCCTTGGCTTCCTTCCAGGATGCTTTCTCCTGTCTCACCTTTTTAAGAAGGGATACCATCTCTTGTGACCAAGCAGAAGGGTAAGTTACAATTGCCGTCTCAAACATGTTCACAATTTCCTTGCTGGGAGTACTGGAGCGGATATGATATGGTCTCTTAAGGGAGAAAAAGAGAAAGAACCTTCATTCATAGGTCAAAGGGGGGAAAAAGCCTGCAAGCATTTACAAGGTAAACTTTGAAATAATAAAGTTTCAACAAGAACCCTTCAAGATGATTGACAGGTAGCCATCAAGTGCTGTGAAAATTACTATGGACTTTTAGAGAAATGTCACACGGACATTAGTTTTTCACCAAAAACAAGTTTTAAGAACTTGTTATTTTACAGATCCAAACAAAATATCTCAGTGGCTTGAACCAGTCTCTGATGCACTGATTTCAAATAGTTTTGTTCATAACTTTTAGGCATATTTATATAAAAAGTGAATAATGAATAGAAAAACTTCAAATTATTATATAAGGTTAATTACAAACAGATCATAATTTTCCCATAGCCTTATCTGAAATGCAACAAAAACTAGGTGTTGTGGCATGTGTTCGTAATCCCAGAACTTGGGAGGTAGAGGTAGGAGGATCAGAAATTTAAGATACATAAGTTCAAAGCCATCTGGGCTACCAGAGAGAGATGCTTTTAAAGAAATAAACAAACAGCAACAATACATGTAAAAAATAAACATAGCTAGAAGGTTGCCAGGACAGAAAACTTCTTAGAAAGTATCAACTCCAATGTCTTATGTTTTTGGTTGTGAGCCTAGCCTTTAACAGCTGAGCCATCTCTCCAGCCCCAACTCCAGTGTCTAATACTCTGCTTCCATGAAGCATGTAGTAGAGAATTTTATGCTAGGATAAAAAGTTAAACAAAGAAACAAAACCTTTTCTAGAACCATCATGGCAACTTATGGCTTTAGTTTGAATAAAAGAAATTAAAAACAAAAATGAAATTAGCATGAAAATCTTATTTGGAAATGTGTTACTTTCTAACCTACTCCAAAAATTAAAAAAATAATTAAAAAGAAAGACAAGCTAATGAAGATTTTACATCTGTACACTAGGTGGCAGATGTGGTTATAACTGCTCTGCTGGGATGGGCTTTCCTGTCTTCTAGGGAAACTGTAAGCAACTTAAAGCCAGAGTGCTTACAGGGCTAGGACTTCGACATTAGCTTAATCACAGGACAGTTAATCTGTGTGTACACATTTAACACACGACTGACCTTTTCCAGGTATTTAAGTAATCACTGATGGATGAACTAATTTGGAGGAAGGAAAAGTATTTGTATTTCCTAGGAGTCAATTAAAAGGTTTTATAATGTAATCATGTGTTGGAGCTTGAGGTCAGAAGGCTTTGGATGCTAAACCAGATCACTCATCCTCTGACCCTCAGTTCCTGCACAGACGAAATGGTAGCTACTTCATCAGCAAAATGAGCCACTGCGAAGGGTGGCTGTGGAAAACAGGAGGTAATGCAGGGAAAGTTCTCTATGCAGCGACAACAAGATGGGATATATCAAAGAACCTTAAAATGTGCTGTCAACTAAGAGGGAGAATGTATAACAAACTGTGTGGGAAAAAGAAAGTGTTAGGTGGGAGTAAACGGCGTCTTGTGGTTGTGTTTCAAGAGGACAGAATGAAAAAGGGTCAGTGGGTAGCTCACACAAGCCTGCCCTCCCATCCCAGAACTCCGGAAGCAGAGGCAGGAGGATGGCGAGCTTGAATTTAGCCTAGGCTACACAGTGAGTCTATCTCCTGAAGGAAACACAAAGAGTTGCAGCTATGCTACAACCAACACGACAGAGGTAACTATCTGGAGTACTACTTAAGGTTAATACAAAACTACAAAAGACAGGGAGGCGCTTTTGTCTTCCAGTGGCTGAGACTGGGAGGTGACTGAAGGTTTAAGGTCTGATCCACCCAAAGTGCAGCTAGGCTCAGAGGGGCTTTGAAAGTACATTTTCACTAGTACACTATTTCCTTTTTTTCTATAAATAAGAGTTTGCAAATCAGCAGGAAGTTACTGTTCCAATACCCCCTGTGTGCTTCAGTTATGATGAAACTTGTAATTAAATGTTATTATTTCATTTTCTTCCAACTAACTGTATTTTGCAACATAATCACATACCATCTTTTAATGATTTTTTCCAAGAACGTGTCAAAATGGGTGTATAGTAATTTGTTCTTCTTATTTAACACAATACATATTGATGAAAAGTTGCACAGTGTGGATGATATTAAACTATGTAATATATATATATATCCCATTTTTAATAAATCAAAATTCTGATCTCATGGAACAGAAAGCACAAAAATTGATGTTTGGCAGTATTTGTACATGTCAAAGTTAATCGTGAAAGGAAAATACACCAAGGTGTTATCATGTAGAAAGTTATATATTTGAATTTATAAAATTATCTCAGCAGGGAATTAAACATGATTATTTTTTTGTCAAAACTGCTAAACATTTGTACATATAAACATCTGAAGAGGGTTTATCCACATGAAAATAGAAAGACCTAAGAGTGACAACAAAATGCTAGGGTTTTATTTTTGTTTTGTCTGTTTGTTGGAACAGATTTTGTTTTTGTTTGTTTTACTTTCCATTTTAATTTTTTTCTGATTTGCATAAACTCCCCCCTCCATTTCCTCCTTCCAACCCCTCCACATACTTCCCACTGCTAGCATAATCCCTAAATATTTATCCTCACACCACAGCTAAATAGAGTACTCTCACCCCTTGTCAAGGAAATTTGTCTTTGCAATAGATGAAGACTTATTACAAAAAACCACAACCAATCAAAATGTAGAACTGCAGAGTCCATTCCCAACTGATACATCTACAAAACGACTCCAGCATCTCAGAACCTAAAGAAGCATGGCTCCACCTGGATACTTACAGTAATATGCAAAAGAAGAGAGGTGGATTACAGATGAAAATTATTGAGCAACAAAGAAGCAGAAATTAAAAACTCACAAGTTTGGACTCTATCCATAGTATAAAATAATACAAACACAACAAAAGGAAAAAAACAAGAGGAGAAAAAATTAAAAAGGACAAAATACAAGTTCATGGGAAGGGGACAGTGTAAATTTGAGGAGAATATGATGGATAAGGCTTGACAACTAATTGATAATTGAACCAGGGGCTTACAAGCAAAGTTAAAGGTGAAGGTGGGGTTGTGCCATCAGAGGGACCGTTTGTTTCAGTTAAAGGTCACAGACTGTGGGCTGGAATGAAGGAAAGGTGTCAGACAACTGAACATCTTCTGTATCTTCTGTTCCATCTTATGGTCAAAGAGAAATAGTTGGACTCCGTTGCTTTGAACTTGGTACCCCTCTTTGCTTTCTTATTTTTCTCCTCTTGGGTGAGACTGTGCCCATCATTATATTTTAGAAGAACATAATTTGTCTGACTTTACAGGTTCCTAGCTAGATGGGAATTCTGCCTTGGGATGAACCATCCCGGAAGTCCCATCCACACTGGATTCAAATGATATTCAGGAGAAAATGTTATTGCTAAAGGAATATATTGAGTGTAGTTTACATGTGAGGAGGAGGTTGGTTTTGGAGAGCCAAGATATGATCGATATGTTCTGGATGTAACCCTCACACACAGTATAAGCCTCAATAAGATGGTATTTGAAGACAGGAACTATGGCAGGCAGACAGTTTGAGACAGAGTATATCCTAATGGCAGAGCCTGACAGTTTAAGATTAAAAGATCTCTTTCTGCCCTTTGCCTTCATGTCCTCTCTGCATCCTTACCTTCTTCCCCTACCCTCCCTTCCTTCCTCTGTGTTGTAAGGATACCAGCACCCAGCATTTCTGACTCTCTGACTGGAACTTCCAAACTCTACCATCTGTAAAAAAATACATTCTCATTACCCAGTTCCCAGTATGCCATTTTGGTAGGCTAGGCTGACCATGATAAAACTTTAGGGGGATGCCTAAATTCCATATACGTTTTCAAGGTTGTATAAAATACATTTTTATTATATTTCACTGAACTTGTTTTTTCTAGTGAAGAGTTTCTTATTTGAGAAATGTTTCTATTGACAAGAAGGACACTACTTCAGTCTGCCAGGGGACTTATACTCAGCAGCCACATCAGGCAGAGGACCAGCAAGATAGAGCACAGGTTGTCTGCTGTCAATCATTCAGACTTTTTTAGAGAGCTGCATCTGAATTAGAGCTCTGTCCATTGACTGCAAAATGATTTTCTTTAAATATACCCATCTGTTTATCCAAGATAGTGAGGTGTATTGATTTCCCTTCACTAGGAGTTGTTGATATCCATATTATTAACTTATCTATGTAATTAATATTAATTGACAGATTTGGTGACACATATAGGACACTAAATTAATCTGTGCAGAGGTCTCAAGGAGTATTATTAACACCGGATAGTATAGGTGTTTTCTGATTTCAAATGAACTACTTGGTTCTTAGCTAATAATGAACTCTTTCAAAAACAGAATCTGAAGAGGCTTGGGAGATGGCTTAGTGGTTAAGACATTGGGTGTTTGCAAAGGGCCAGGGTTTGGTTCCCAGCACCCACAACAGGTGGCTCACAGGCACCTCTTACTCCACTTTCAGGGGATCCAATGCCCTCTCCTGACCTCTGGGGGCCTTGCATACATGTGAGATACCTACCCACACAGGCACACATATGTACACATGAAGAAGCAGATCTTGAAAACATTATTTTCTAGAATAATGTGAAACAAGAATATATGGTTCAAATGTACCCGGCCTCTCAGCAGCTCGTAAGCTGTCACCCCCAGGGACCACCAGTCGACAGCAAAGGAGTAGCCTGTTTCCTTCCTGGAGCTGAACATCTCAGGTGCTGAAAAACACAGAAAAGTTTAGTTTTACTCTCTGAGACTCCAATCAATCTATTTTCCCAACACATTCTTCCGAAGAAGAATTAGCAGCCTGAAAGGTGTAAACACTTTCACGGATGTTTATTATTCATTGGTAGATTGCTCACAGCAGGCAACATTTTCTAATTTTTTAGCTCTCCCAGCAGTCCCATTCATCAGCTAACACAAACAGACACATGCAGACCTTAATGGACAAATTCTTCTCTTCTTTAGAACCTATGACGTTGCAGGTCCTATTGGGCCTTGAATGAGGCACTCACCCTGAGAGGAAGAAAGCTAGGGGGTGGGCGGGGGCATGCTGTCTTGATCTGGAAAGTATATGCTAAAGTAGCTGAATGGATATGGCAATCTCAAACAATGCTTAGAGTTGTAGGAGATGCACACTGGCTTGGGGATACCTGGCAGCATCAAGGGAGGTGAATGCAGCCTTCTGGTGTGTGTGAGGGCAAGAGAAAGGGGACAGAGGGCATTCAAGGAAGTATAACACTTCGCAATAACCGTGGGGCATTTATAGTTTATAACTATAGTTTTCTAAATTGACTCTACTGGAAAGCAGAGTCACCATCAATTGAACCCTCAGAGATGACCCCTCAGGCTGTCTTTAAGCACTTTGTTATACCTTTCTAAGAATCTACTTGCTTCCTAACGGTTAGAACAGGGAACATAAAGGATTGAGCAATGACAGCTATAGTGCTGTTGCTCACCAGGCTACACACAGAGTCTAGTGCAGAACCTGGCACTCAACTGAGTCAGCAGTTAGAAACTTATCACACAGATGAATGAACGCCAAAGCCAACAGACTTGTGGTCACTATCTCTGCACCTGTGCTGGGTTCAAATGCTTCCCCTACCACTCACTGTGCTCATGAGCGAATCAGTTGGCACAGCCTATTTCCTGCCCCAGCAAGGTCAGAATACTAAAAAGAATTATCAGTTTAGAAATTAAATGAAGGAATGCATGTCCAAGTGTCAACACAGTGTCAGGTGTTTGCAAAAAGCAAAACAAACAGAAGCAAATGTCCATAGCAGTAGAGGAATTTACCTCCTTCAAAGGTACACAGAGTTGATGCCCATCCTCCTATAGTAAGGAACTGACTGGACAAAGGAAATCCTGAGGACATGGCTTCTTTATACAAGCCCATTTGCCTGTGTGCTTGAACTCTAACTAAATTTCTGTGGACAGCTTCCCATTACAAGGGTAGAATATCGACATCACCGTGATTCTCAGAACTGCCCTAAGAGCTTCATGCTGGAGGACTAAGTGAGTCTCATGCCCTGGTGAATTCACATTTCATGCATCACTAAGTCCTTTCTTCAAGTTCCAAGGACCAGTGCACGTGAGAAGGTAATGGCCCTCACCCCACAGTGCTCCAATTCCTGGGTAGAATTGACTGTATCTTTGAATTCTTTCTTCAGTATCTCACTGGAAATCATCTCTAAGGCAATGGGTATCAAACAATGCATTTAAAAGACATCTGGATGATTTGGAAGCATGGCAGAGACACTTCTGTTAGGAAATGTTAATCAAAGTAAATATTATACTATCAAAACAGTGTGCTCTCTCATATCAAACCATCCTTGAAGGAGGTGTGACTATTCTTTTTTTTTTTTTTATATTCTCCAGTGCTAGTAGATGTCTGCCTTTTGTCTGCTATTTGCTCTATTTTCAAACGTGAAAACATTTGTATACACATTCCTCCACTAAACAAATATTTATGGTGTGCTAAGCCTGGAGGAATTATAATGGTGGTTTATGAAGAAAACCCAGGACAATATACAAAATTACTATGACATTTTAGGGCGTCAAGCAGGCAGATGGATATGGGAGATGCTGAGTGGATTTCTCTGATTCTTTGAGAAGATCCCCTCATCCCAAGAGGAGCCAAACAGAACTGGCAAGGAATCACTTTCCCTCCAAATAAACAGGAGTTCTTTTGTGTGGAAATTATTTTCCTTTGTATACACATTCAGAAATATCAAAAAAAAAAAAAAAAAACATAAAAGAAACGAACAAGTATTCAGAAGCCAGTGCCCTTGTAACCATCATACCCATTATAATCATTATAATGTTGATAATAATATATGATTTTTTTCTTTTTCTTTTCTTTTTCTTGGGGGGGTCGAGACAGAGTTTCTCTGTATTGCTTTGGAGCTTGTCCTGGAACTAGCTCTGTAAACCAAGCTCGCCTCGAACTCACAGAGATCTGCCTGCCTCTGTATCCTGAGTGCTGGGACTAAACGTGCGTACCACCACTGCCATTCTAATAATATATGAATTTCTAAACAACAGTTTAATTTTGCCTATATTATATATACTTCTCCAGGACTATAAATTAATCAACAGAGAGAGAGACTAGCTATATAACTACTTACTTGTTTCAAGCAATTATAATAAAGGAAACATTAACAAAGGAATTGAAGGAAAACAACCTTGCATTGTATCAAGTCCTTTTAAATGAAATGCTAGTCTCTGTACTCATTTATGTCTTGCTTTTTCAGTTCAGTAATATTTGTTTGTGATTTATTCAAATTGCCAGACAATTTGGTTTGTTTAAATTTAGTACTACATGAATACATGGTGATTTACATATCTGCCCTATTGCAGATAGCTGTTGGAGATATTTTCAATTTGGGAGTATTGCAAACAGTGCTGTTTGGACTAGTCCTGTACACTCCTGATAACATCACTAATGATACAGGGTTTGTGCTGAAGATGGGGGTGTGCATTTCACACACATAGATAAGTCACCAAGGGGCTGTGCAGTTCACACCAAGACCAGCAGTCAAAGTTCTTTTGGCTTAACACTCTTCTCCACACTTGGAGTTTTCACTGATTTGTTGTAAGTACCATCTTATTCTGTCGCAAATTAAGATGAATTTCCACTGATTACTAATAGGCTTGCTAGACTTTATATGCTTAATTGGGTATTTGATTGTGACCATTTTGTGTTCAGAGTTTAAAGACCTAGATATTAGGTTTTTGTTAGGATATAAGGAAAGGGTCTCCCAAATAATTCTATAATAATGAAAATAATTCATTATGTTTTACAGAAATGATCTCAAACCTCATCCTTCAGAAAAGTGTGCAAATGATGAGTTTTGGGGAAAAAATCCTTAGATCACATAGAATAACCTACATTATAAAACTATGGCAATTAATGCTGAGAAGCCCAGAGTACAGATATTAGTATATGAAGTTACTTAAATGGTGATGAGGGATTTTTGAATCAGCATGGGAGGGCTGTTATTTTATACAGAATTTCCAAATAATTACTTAATAACCTAACAAAAATAAAGTAACCTTTCAAAATAGATGTTCAGTGAAAGTAGTGTAGAATTGGTATTAAATAAAAATTAATGTGATAATAAAGTACTAGGTAAACTTATCTAAGATCTGGAATAAGAAGATCTAGCTGAGAATAGCATCCATGACAGAAACCCTGACACTACACATGGGCCAGGCATGGGTCCCAGTCCCCCACACAAACATGAATAGCTTGATCATATAACAGGAAGTTCAGTGTGTGTGCATGCAGTCCCAGCAATCAGGAGACAAAGTGAGGAGACTGCTGCATGTTTAAAATCTAATTCATAGAAAGTTCCAGGCCAGTTGGAGCAATACAGCAAGACTCTGCCTCAGAAACTGAATCTTAAACAAAAAAATCAAGGAGACGGATTGAGTACAATACCACAACAAATACTACACACTAGGAGCTAGGATTTAATATCCCTGATACATAAAGATGGGAATCATTTACATAATCACCAAGAAGTACAAAGTAGGGAAGAAAAACAGACCCAAGAAGAAAATGAGCAGATTCTGGGCAGCCTGGTCTACAGAGCTAGTTCTAAGACAGGCTCCAACGCAATACAGAGAAACCCTGTCTCGAAAAACAAAAACAAAACAAACGAGCAGATTCTATGAACAGGAAATATATAAAAGGCAGAGATTGATTTCAACATCACAATATCACAATATGGTCCACTTCTACTGATTATTTGGGGAGGTTGTGGCCCTGGTAACTGAGCACAGATGAGGATGCAGGGAATTTCACGTGATATGTTCTTCTTGTAAGAGTAGAAATCAATATGTAACCAGGAATTCTTTTTTGCAGTGTTAATTTTAGTTAATAAGTACAATTTATATATGTCCACTGTGTACGATGCATTTTGAAATATGAATGTAGCATGAACAGATAAAGTGAACTATGAATTACGCACATGTTTACCATTTTTGACATTGTGTGAGTGTGTGTGTGTGTGTGTGTATGGTGCACATTCCACTCCGTGATGTGAACAGGAGGGTGAAAGGACAACTCATAGGAGTCACTCCTCTCTACTATGTGGGTTCCAGGGATCTAACTCCGGTCTTCAGGCTTGGCAGTAAGCAACTTTTCCTGCTGAGCCATCTTGTTGACCCCTTACTAGTTTTTGTATTGATAAAAAACCCAAGGTTACTCTCAATGATCCCTAAGAGTAGAAGGCATTATTTTATCTTCGATTCACAAAGAAATGATGGAGCTGATGGGAATGATTCTGCCAACAAGATTTCTGTTACAAAGTTCTATTTCAATACGGGAAAGAACCAAATATTCAACAATAGAGGAAACCAGATTCATCTTGTGGTGCACTCTGATCTGCAACACATGGTACAGAATGCTAGTTCTATTCACAGTTCCTCGTGTGGTGGTGACCCCTAACCCTTGCTACTGTTATGAATTGTAAAGTAAACATCTGATATGCAGGACATCTGATAGATGACCCCCATGGGAGTGTCATTAGATTCCCCTCCCCAAAGAGGGTGGGACCCACAGGCTGAGAACCACTGGCTTAGACTATGCTCCTAGTCCTTCCCCGGACTTGTTTCCTACCTGTTCAGATTGCTCACCTCTGAAGTGGAAACAGCAAGTTACTGCTTTACAAAATTGTTTTCAGAGTGCATGATCCAAGGCCTGCTCCCAGAATGCACCCAGCCTGCTAGCAAATGTCAGTCATTACATCATTATCACTGCCATGGCCCCAAATGTTCCAGGCTAGATGTTTCTAGATTTGGGTTTAATTTCATGCTCTGTCAATCACTTCCTCTGTAGTTATGATCATGTCATTTTCTCTCCTGGTTGGATATTTTAATGTATGAATAAAATAGTAGTAAAATCTGTCTCACAGAGTTGTTTTAATGATGTAATAAATATTAAAGACTTAACAAAGCACCTGGGACATCATAAATGCTCACTACATGCTAGCAATTGTTGTTACCTTTGCATTATCAAATGGGTATTTACATTAAAGAAATTTAGCCTAATCCATCTTCCAAAGACGTAAAGGAAAATGTGTTTGTACATAGAGAAAAACATTCAGTTGGAAGCTATAAACATCTATTGGTAGAAGAGTTAACTTACTTTCTTCTTTACTTGTCAGCATTCTGCACTTTTTCATAGTGGACTTGTGTGAGTGCGTGCACACGCACGCGCACACACACACACCTCCTCTGTATTAAGGAGAAGTCTAATTGGTGAACTTCTAAGTGATCTAGATTACACTCACACAGTTCTAAGGTGAGGGAGAATAAAGGGCTAGAGTGGTGAGGTAGAATGGGAGGGCAGAGGTAAGGAGTGTGGAGGACATGCCTCTCATCATGGCTTCAGGCTTGACTTCTATCTTCTTAGGTCTTTCCTCTTCCTTTCTTCCTCCTTCCCTCCCTCCCTCTCTGCTCCCTCCCTCCCTTCCTTAATCTCTTCCTTCTTAGTCAATTGCTAGTGTTCTACACACCAGCATTGTAAAGTGAGTGCTAGTAAATTACTAAAAGATAGTTTACTAAATTATATGAATATACTTTTTAAAAGAAAAAGAAGGCTCCTACCTATAATTCTTCATGAAAAGAGACCTATTCAGAGAGAGAGAGAGAGAGAGAGAGAGAGAGAGAGAGAGAGAGAGGGAGGGAGGGAGGGAGGGAGGGAGGGAGGGAGGGAGAGAGAGAGAGAGAGGGAGGGAGAGAGAGAGAGAGAACAAAGGCAAAAGTAGTTGTGGGTAAAGCCATAGGCTACGTCATTAATACATTCCTTTTGGAATACAACGGGAAACATTCCCAATATGACAGACAAACTAAACTGGTTCAGCTCCTGAAGAACCATAAGTGGAAATTATCCAACACACATTTCACCCCTTATGCCTCTCAATATCGGAAGCTAGAAAGAGCTTGACTTATGTCTAACATTTTCATTCAAAGATGACTAATTATTACCATGAAAATCATGACAACTTGTTGAGTGTCCAGCTGTCAATGATAAGTATAGTCAATCTCATTGGTCAGGTTGAGAAAAATAAATGCATACATGGAGGTAAAGTATCTAACATATTGTCTGCAGAAAGACTTTGATAAATACTAGCAATTGCCCATTAAAAAATGTGAAAGTGAGACAGTGACTGGCCTGGTGCCTGGATTCCAATTTTCTAGTTCTGTTCTATGAAGATGCTAGAAATCACAACTGTGAAAAAAATTAAATCATACAGATATTATCCTTGAAATGACTGGGGATGGGGAGAGAAAAGAAAGTTGTCCTCCCGTACTTCTGTCACCATGGAAACCATCCCTAGAAACCCCAGATGCACACTTTGTGATTTGGCACCAAGAAATTGGCCTATAATGTGGGAGCCTAGGAAACCTGGGGAACAAACTGTACAGACCAGCAGGCCTGGATATTCCCTTTTATCACTGGAGTACCATGGATTGTAGGAGAAAAATGGGCCGAATTGCATGTGTTCATTATTTTAGAAGTGACAAAAGAAATTTATTCCCCCACACTGGTGATTGAAAGCCATGAAATCTGCAGTTGTTCAAACGTTCCATAAAATAAGGCTTTTTTTCTCCCCAGAGACAATCTTGTGGTGGTCTTTCATGTAAGTGTGACTCACACCCCCTACCCCTGCCATCACATGGAGGAAAGGTGAAAACTGATAGGAAAAAATTCAAAATGACGTTGCTCTTTTCCTTGATTTTTCAAGTTCAGACTTCTTCTATGAAATTCTCTAGCCATACCTGGTTTGTGCCATTCATTCCACCCTTTACTGAATCCCTTCAGTTTCAAAAGCTTTAAGAAATTAACTAATTAAGAGAGACACACAAGAGGAGAGTGGATTTTCTTCTCCTATTTTTTGCTACTAATTGTGCATTGTTTAGTGTCTTGTTTTAACTGGCTGGTAACCCACCCCCACCCCACTGATAGCTTATCAGTCATCAAGACTTAATAATTTTTAATCCCTTTGCTTATTATAATGCTTCAAATATCTTAAAATCCAGTATGGTGAATCTTGAAAGTGGTCTCTCAGAGCTTATCACTCACCTCACCAGGCTGGATTTTCACACCTCCATATGGGGTTGGAGAACTGGGCTAGTTCTAACACATCTATGTGGTGATATTTTGTTTATGATATAACAAATAAAGCTTGCCTGAGGATCAGCGAAGCAAAGTGTCCAGCCACTAGAGAGTTCTCACCTCTACCAATGCTCAGATAGGAAGGGTGAGCCAGTCCTCACCCTGTATCTCCAGACTGCATTGACTCCACCAAACCTCAGACTGCACTGAGCTCCTGTCTCCTCCTGCCTTATATCCTCTCTCTGCCAAGCCATATCACTCTGGTCTCCACCTCCCTAGTGCTGGGATTAAAGTTGTGAGCTCTGTTTCTCTTTTAGACTGATTGAATCTCATGTTGCCCAGGGTGGCCTTGAACTCACAGATGCATCTGCCTTTATCTCCTGAGTGCTGGGATTAAAGGTGTATACTACTACTGCCTGGCCTCTATGGTTAACCAATGTGGCTGCTGGGATTAAAGGTTATACCACCATTGCCTGGGTCCTATATCTGTGGCTAGCTTTGCACCTGATCTTCAGGCATTAACCCAATATCTGTCTCTGTGACTTTATTATTAATACCAATTAGAATTCGTGCTACACATCTCCATCTCTTGTTTCTTAGTAAGCTCTTCTTCTGTTTGACCAAATAAAAGGGACCATGAATTCCTACCGTAAGTATAATGAGTCTGCCACACTGTGAATGAAGACATGTACACCACAAGAACAGTTCTTAGGCATAAGCTATTTTTAAAAAACTAACTAATGAGATTACTGTGATAACAAAATTGAAGCTAATCCCATAACTGGAAAAATACCTCGAAAACTTTACCACACTGTGCATGCACACAGTAGTATTTAAATAACACTAAAATTATTACTCTTGTCATATGTTGTGACTCAACTCATTTCGGGTTCTTTTTGTTTGATTAGTTTCATATCTCTCCTACAGGCATGCAAGTTCCATGAGTAGAGACATTGTATGTGTTTCTTATTAATGGGTGACTATCATGTCAAAACCCTTCCACACACACATAGGTAATTGACTAAGTTCATACTTTTACTCAGAAATGGGTAGACAACTAATTGGGTCATAAAATAGCATTTGCAGAATGTGATTGATGTCCCTGCTGAATCCAGATCACCCCGTGTAGCTTTAGTAGTGCCCCAGGTAAAACCAACCAGAAAAGAGCTTGACTGATCCAGTTCCAAGTCCTTCTGAATCTGACCATAGCAAATGGGATCTAGAAGAATCAGAAACACAATATCTGTTCTGACAATAGGACAACACTCGTGAAGCTGCTCACACCCACCCATGTAAGGCTTGGTGCCAGCCACGGTGGTGATCCGAGTCTCCTTAGGCAGCAGAGCAGCAATGTTGAAGTCTGTGATGTGCACATGCCCTGTAAGGAGAGGAAGACCAGGAGAACATTAGATCCCTTCAACCTAGAAGAACAGCCATCCATCCAATTGAAAAAAATCTGGAGGCTTAGCCTGTTCTGGCATGCTAGCTGCAACTAAGTGCAGGCAATAAAAGCTCTCTTAGTGTATCCTCAAGGCCAATAAGGTTTTAAACCAGCAGGTCTGCTACAGACAGAACATGATACACAACAATTAGTCTCTGACTATAAACTTGTAGTTCAGCCTCAGACTGTTTGAAATTTGGTAGATAAGTGTATGCTCCAAGAACTCTCTGGATATTATTGTCTGCTGGCATCGGTCTAGATTGCCTACTCTATGTATTCCATATAGGCGATAGCCAGATCCTCTGAAAACATCACAATTCTCACAATCTCTTTTGGGGTCATTTAAAAAAATACAAGTAAAATTACTTGGCATGGTTATGGATAGCCACCTTGTTATTGTTGTTGCGGTTCTCCTTGTTTTTCTAAGACCCCCTTTTGTATGGAAGAGACAGACAGGAAAGGTTGCATTCAGTGACCTCTAACAAAGTAAATTCTATCAAGGGACAACAGGCAAAATTTAGAATTTTATTTAAAGGGATTGGGGGCCAGGAGACATGGTCTGAGTCCAGATCTCTGTCCCCAACAGGTAATAGAAATTAAGTCCTTTTCCTACATTGAGCCTAAATTCCCGCACATTGAATAAAAACAAAACAAAATAAACAAACAAACAAACAAACAAAAAACGAGGTAGATCAGATGACATCTAGGAACTCTTTGAGTTGTGAAGCACAGCTATAAACAGGTCTCTTTGGGTTGTAATACACAGCAATAAAATGTGTGTGTGGTACTTAAGTTTTGGCAGGAAATATACCTTACATGATGTTCCAGGGTTCCTGCATTTGCAAATGGAAGAAAGAGATGGGCAAGACAGGAAACTCAAACCAACTTGTCTGTTAGCACAATAGTTATCTGTCTTCCTAGGAGCTGGAAATTCCCATTTACATGTGGTTGCTGCTTTGATGAGATGGGGTTGAAGTGGGAACACCAACTCATTCTCCTTTCAGGGTCCCTAGTCCAAACTCCACAGTCTGCTTCTGGTCACATCTAGCCCATCACTAAGGAAAACTATTACTCTCTCCATCATCATGGCTGTTTTGTGCAGAAACTACTTTCTTTGTGTCTGTATGTCATTTTCATAAGGCAAAAGCAGCATTCATCAAAATGAAAGTTAAGGTATTCTTGGCCAAATCACATCAATGAATGAATGCTCTCTTTAACATAGTTCAAGCTGTCTTCGGTTTTTTTTTTTTTTTTTTTTTTTTTTCACTTCTATTTCTCTATAGTTCATGTCCCATATCTTGGACAATTTCGGAATTTGATGGAAATCATGTGTGCCTGAAATCACCCCTGTTATGAGCCTGTCCTCTGGAGTCAGGATGTGTGGCTTTAAGTCTAGTCCCCACCACTAATCAGCTATGCCACCTTTAAAAAAAATCACCTGGGCTCTTCTTACTTAGAAAGATTATGAGGAAATGAAAGATGGCAGTGACTATTGGAGACTCAGCCGTGCACTTGTCAGGGCACCAGAATTGTTGACAATCATCATCAGAAACTAAGGCACAGATTTTTAAAGCTCATGTGCCTGTGTCTCACTCCCCTCCAACTACAACTGGACAGACAGGAAAGACAGACATTTGCATTGAAAACAAAAGAAAAAACTCCAGAATATGGTGCTCATGAACAGTCAGGCACTGAACCTTTCCTAAAACCTGAGAAGGTTTTCCATATAGTATAAGGTTGCCTAGACAGTGTGAAGTGGAATGGAAAGGATGCTCGGGATACGCCCAGTTCCTGAAGCCTGTTCTCTGGACCAGAAGCAACAGTGTCACTCAGAAACTTGTATGAAATGCAAAATTCTGAGCCTCTCCATACTTTCCAGATCAGAAATACGAAGGTCCAACATTTTAGCAAGCCCTCCAGGTGACCCTAATGCGACAGAGTTTGATGTCATTGTTTTGAAAGAAGACCTAGCTCAGTAGGAGAGTGAGGCTGTCTCACAAAACAACAAAGCAAGTATGGGGACACTGGCCAAAAAAGCAAACCTAGTCAGCACTGACTGTCTTTCTGCTCCATTTGATTGAATGAATGATGAATATCTATTAACATCTGCACATGATTCCTTCAGTTTTTAGAATGTTGTTCCAGCAAAGTGGCTCCTGTTGCATAGATGACTGGTTTATAGCTAAGTTCATAGGATCCAGAAGTGGCAGAATAGAAGTTAAGATATAGAGACTAGTTTAGGATCTAGATGTTGCTCCCATGATACTTTGGTTCAGGTTTCTAATCTCCCCAAATGCTGTGTGTTCTGTGGCAAAATGAAAGGACTGAGGAGCTTGAAACAGAGAGATTTTCCTTGACTCAGATATCTTCCCCTGCCAGGATACAGAAGAAATATCTGAGGCCTTGGACTTATGGGAGCTCTAGTGGGTGCTACAAATTCCCAAGGCTATCTGCCATCCACAATGCTGAGCCTCGGTTCCCATGGTGTTTGCATGCTGAGCTCATCTTGCCAGGCTCTCTCCTGAGCTGTGAGGGAGACTTCCAAGGCTGAGTTAGAGGGGAGGGTTCACTGTGATGCTGATGGTAGGAATCAGGACTTTCCTTGAGTTTGTGGGAATTTTATACCTTCTTCCACAAGCCAGGCTTCCAAGCAACTCCTGGAATAACATTCCCAACCTCAGGGTTGTAGAGATACTAGTTTCATCATCTCTGTTTTGGCGTTGACCTCAACATTGCAGCATGCTTGGTGTAAAGTCTTCCTGTACAAGACTAAGGCTTCCTCATCTAGACACCTGGGGGAGTGTATCCACCTTGGACAGCTTAATAATGTCAACTCATCTTACAAGGCTGTTGAGTCCAGCGGCCACTATTGTCACCTCACCAACTCTATTCTTCCTCACTGTGGCTATGCTCAGTCTGAGGCCACTTTCATCAACCCCTCTCTCCAGGACACCATATCTAATCAGTTGGCAATGGCCACAACTGTTAAAATAAGTGTTTACAGTTTGTGTGATACACACACTTTTCCTGTGATGTCAGCTATTCTCAGTTGTAGCTAAGGCATGACCATCATTATCTAGGGCCACATTTATTATCTTACATTTTTAATGGGATGCTGTCTTGATTTTTCACCAAGTGTTAGGGCCTTTCATGGAGGAAGCTGATAAGGTAGAAGGCTCTGTTCTTTCTCATTCTCAAGAGTGAGTTTTTACCTCCCTTTCTTATGACTACAGATATTAAGAAGCTAAATTACGTATAATTTTATAATTGCCAAAGTCTTTGATAATGCCAGGCAGATATTACTATTCTTCTGGATGTTGCATTTGTTTCCTGACTAACTCAAGAAAAACACAAATATTTTAGACATGCGGAAGCGATAGAATTATATTGGGCACTTCAATTGGTAGGATGTGAAGATATGTATCAGGATGGTTTGCTATGATTCATCCAAGACCCATGCCATATTGGCTCTGAATTAGTGTAAGCGAGATATCTGGGGAGAAAAGTAACTTGAATGCTCAAAATGAAAAGCATTTTTTATGTCAAACGCTGAGTCATAGGAGATGTTCATTCACACTGCATGAAGACTCTCCATCTTGTATGATCTCACATAAATGCCACTACGTGCTGGTGAATATGAACAGTGTGAATCATGGGAATAAAACAAAGTGTCATCCTTTCACTGAGCACAGGTGAATTAAGACAGAAACCACAGGGTATATACAATACTTATTTGGAAGGATGGGCACAGGGGGAGGCATGGAAGAAAAATTACACAGCGGCCTTATACGGTTGCTGATATCCCCATGCCAGGGGTGAAATATTGAAAATGTAGCGGCAGAGATCAGTGAAGTTTCAGCTCTAAGGGGAACTTGGGAAATCAGAGCAGCTGCTGCTCCAAAGGGCAAACATTGATTTGTGGTTTGGCTGGTTCTCCTAAGAACAACCCAGGAGCTTGGGGGAGACAGATTCAAGAATGTAATCACTTAAAAGCAACTAATTTTGGTTCATGAACAGTGTCAAAATCCCAGATTGTTTGTAATTTAAGTGAAAATGATGTCAACACAGCTATCTTCTCTAGAAGGATAGGTTTTCCAGAATGGATCCAAGACTTTTTTCACTTTGTCTGCTTCTGACTCCCTCCCAAGTCCCTCCAGAGCAATGTTTCTTCTTTTCTTAATAGTTAACAACTCTGAAGGTGAGTTCAGATTGGGAATACAATAACGTTCTTGTGGCTGTTGTTGCTGTTCATTGTTTAAAGCGAAGTTCTGACAGTGAAAGGGAGCATTGGAGATTTCCTGGCCTCTGAGACACGGGAACTCTCCCTCAGGAAGGCAGGGAAGACAGCTCCCACATGCCCACCGACTAAATCCTAACCCAGAATGGAAATGCCAAGAACAGTGACCTTAGACGACTGTGTAAACGAAGGAAGGCAGGATGGATTGCAAGTGCAATGGAAGCAAGCAGATGCAGAGATCCAAAGCTAAGCACTGGCTGAGCTCCTGGAGTCCAGTCAGAGAGGGAGGAGGGATATGTGAGCAAAGGGGTCAAGATCATCATGGGGAGATCCACAGAAACTGCTGACCGGAGCTAGTGGGAGCTCACTGACTCTGGACTGACACCTGGGGAACCTGCATAGGGTCTAACTAGGCGCTCTGAATGTGGGTGATAGTTATGTGGCTAGGGCAGTCTATAGGGGCCACTGGCAGTGGGGCCAGGATTTATCCACAGTGCATGAACTGACATTTTGAAGCCCATTCCCTATGGTGGGATACCTTGCTCAACCTAGGTACAGGGGGGAAGGATTTGGTCCTCCCTCAATTTGATATACCAGACTTTGTTGACTCCTCATAGGAGGCCTTACTCTAACTAAGGAGTGGATGAGGGGGTTGGGTAAGGGAAAGTTGGTGGGGGAAAGCAGAAATCAATACTGTGATTGGTATCTAAAATGAAAAAAAATTAAATTAAAAAAAAACAAGTAGAGTCACTTGAAGATTAAGTTTAAATTACCTTGTTTAAACCCAGGATTCAACAAGAGAAAGGATTTTTAGTATTTAGTATATTTAGTAATTCTCTAGGGAAGACTAGTAGTCACTTAGTTTCCCTAGACTCTATCTATAGAGATCTGAGCTACATTAGATCCATGCTGTTCAACACAAAGCCTCACAGAACATCAAGACAGTCCTTGAAAGCCTCTACAATCTCATAGAAGTCACACTCCCATTTGATTCTAAGTGGTTTCTGTTTGTTTTTTGTTTTTGTGTTTCAAGACAGGGTTTCTCTGTATAGCCCTGGCTGTCCTGGAACTAGCCCTGTAGACCAGGCTGGCCTTGAACTCACAAAGATCCAACTGCATGTGCCACCACTGTCTGGCTTGTTTGTTTGTTTTTATGGTTGACATCACATCATATGTTGTCAGTGTTGCATCAGTACTTACAATGACCCCAAGAAGTAAATATTCTGGTCTTAAAAACAAAGGCACAGAGACTGGGCAACTTGGCCAAATTCGGTGAGCTATTGCGTAGTGAGCTCGGTTTTAAAACAATCTAGCTCTGCCATGCACACTCTGAACAACATTGCTATCGTTCTTTCCCAGGAGTAGGCTCTCTGTGGGACTACACTTGAAAATTAATTGATTCACTCATTTTCTTCCTAAATCACCAAATTTTCCAAGTAAGAATGATGGTGAGGAAGATAACAAAAAGGAAGTAAAATAAAGGATGATGGGTGCACATGTAGTAAGAGCATGATCAATCTTTTCAATTGGTAGGGTCTATACATGTCTCCTCAGAGTCTTAGAAATGATCAAGTATTCTTGCTTGATGGCAGCTGTCTGTCACAGAAGGTAAGGAGTAGAGCAAAACCTGGTTCTGCTTAGCCAGGCATGTTTTCCAGAAAGCTTGGTGGCACAGAGTTGCTGTTTTTGTCTAAATAACAAAAGGTAACTTGCACAGGCTGCCCTTTTCTCCAGTTCTAAAGATTCATGGAGTGTATTTAAGCCAGGCATGGGAGGATCATGCTTCCCATAGAAGTCTGGAGGAGTTGATGTTTTCATGAAGGTCACCTTCATGCTAAGTCTCAGCACTGATTACATTTCTGAGATTCAGAAATGTGTTCCAAATGTCAGAAGCTGCAACAGTAAAGAAATAAGACATTGGAAGGAAGTGGGGGGGAAAATCCCTTCAGACAGCCCATAAATAAGTAAAGCCTTTGTGCTTTGAGATTCGGGGCCATGCACAAAAGTATTTCTTAGCTCTCTGAGCCTAGGTGGGGCTGGGAAAAATCAAGTTTCAATTCAAGGAGGTAAATAAATAATAAGGACTGGACGAAACTCAAAGTTTCAGCTCTAATTGCAAATCATGCTTATGAAAGTTGAATAACTAAGGATCTTCACAGATTCAGGTTTGCTTTGCAGAAGTTGTCTGATAAGGACCAACCAAGGGTGAAACTTCCACTGTGAAGTCAGGCAAGGGTGACTCAGCAACCTTTGTCTCTTCAGGGCACATACCACTTTCCTAACAATACATCCAGTAACAAGGACCCCCAACTGCATGGATCTGCATGTACCCCCTGCTTCAAACAATAAAGTGAATTGCTCTTTGTCTGTCCTGTAGCAATACCCATTTCCATTTGAACATGTTTTAAGATATAGTAAGGAATGAGGGATGAAGAAAAATAAACCATTGTACTAACTGCTTTTGTGTGTCAACTTGGCACAAGCTAGAGCCATCGGAAACAAAGGAGCCTCAGTTGAGGAAATACAGCCAGCTGTAAGGCATTTTCTGAACTAGTGATCAATGGGCAAGCGTCCACTCCATTGTAGGTGGGATCATCCCTAGACTGGTGGTCCTTGGTTCTATAAGATAGCAAGCTGAGCAAGCCAGTAAGTAGTACCTCTCCATAGCCTCTGCATCAGCTCCTCCCTCCAGGTTCCTGCCCTGTTTGAGTTCCTGTTCTGACTTCCTTCAGGAATGAAAATCAATATGGAAGAGTAAGCTGAATAAAACTTTCCTCCTCAATTTGCTTTTGGTCAAGGTGTTTTGTTGCAGCAATAGAAGCTTTATCGAAGACAGCCTTCTACTTCAAACTGGTTTGGGATTTATGTACATGAAGGTAACTATGTTCTCTGAGTGAGAGGTAAAATCTCCTATTTGCTATCTTGAGCTTGTGCAAAATTGTGCATGCATAAGATTAAAATCAGATGCACTGTGGGAAACAACATAGTAAACAAGAGCTTACATTATTATGCCAAGTTATGAGACCCCAAAAAAGACAACCAAGGAGCCTACTTACTGATGCAAACACCCAAGGTTTATTGTTAATCTACAAATCCAGCAAAGTGGCACAGCAGCTGCAGGAAGAAGGTGCCTGGCTCAATTGCAAGTGGTTTTTAAAGGAAAAAAAAAAATACAAAAACAAAACAAAAAAGCACAAGTAGGGCGTTAGAATTGGGTAAGACTAGGCAACCTTTGGATTCATTGACAAGGGGGCTAGGGGAATTTCAAAATTGTTACTTACAGTTGCGCACAAGGACAGTTGTGACAAGAAGATGTTATTTACCAAAATTAGTCATTGCCTGGCCACCTGGATGAGTCTCTTTGGCCAGGGTGAGCACAGTTTGGGCATTCCTTGGAACTGTTTAAGGTTCATTGGCTGGAGCTGAACTAGCCTTGTGCCATGCAGGGTGTGGGGGTGGATTTCCTCAAGATGGCTTTTTCTGAGGATGGGGTTAACTCGATCCTCTCCAGTTTACCTTACTCTTACAGCATTACTCAAGCCTATCAATCAAAACAGAAAGATCCTCTTTCTAGCAACCAACATTTTCTCCTGGACTGCATAAAAGGGAAGCCAAACTTTCATTATTTGCAGATAATATGATATTTTATGTAAGTGACCACAAAACTCTACCAGGGAACTCCGACAGCTGATAAATACCTTCAGCAATTTCAGGATACAAGGCTAACTCGAAAAAATCAGTAGCCCTACTATATACAGACAATAAAGGAATGAAGGGGATGAGAAAGAAATCAGAGAAACATCACCCTTTACAATAGCCACAAACAACATAAAATATCTTGGGGTAACATTAAACAAACAAGTCAAAGACCTATATAGCAAGAACTTTGCGTCTTTAAAGAAAGAAATTAAAGAAGATGCCTGAAAATGGAAAGATCTCCCATGTGCTTGGATAGGTAGCATAAGCATAGTAAAAATGGCAATTTTGCCAAAAGCAGTCTAAAGATTCAATGCAATCCTCATCAGTTTCCCAGGACAATTCTTCACTGACCTTGAAAGGATAATACTCAACTTTATATGGAAAAACAAAAGACCCAGAATAGCAAAAATGGTGGGCATGGGAGGGAGAGGGAACTGGGTTCGATATGTAAAGTAATAATAATAATAAAAAAGGGAAACCTCAAACCATGACTGGGTCTCCTGGACAGTAGTTGCAGTAAACTGCTACTCCTTTGCAGTGAGTGGTCTAGTGTCCTTAAATGAAACTGCATTGCCATTGTGTGCACTTTTTAAATTAGCTTAATGAGATGCCAAGAACCTGGAAACACTTATTGCCAACAGTGCCCATCAGCAGTACTTTCCCATGTACACCAGGCAAGCGGTGTGCCCTACAGTCTTGCCCGATGTGGTACCAATAAGTTAAAAAAGACTTTAAAATGTTGAGAAGAGAGGCTGAGGAGGTGTTTCAGTGGTTAAGAGCACTTGCTGCTCTTCCAGAGGACCCAGGTTTGATTAACAGCACCTACGTGGTGGTTCACAGCAATCAGCAACTAGCATACTAGGGGATCCTATGCCTTCTTCTGGCCTCTGCTGTAAGTGCACACACACTGTGCATAGACATACATGCAGGAAAAACACTATACACATAAAATAAATGTTTTTAAACATGTTAAGGAGAGATTGTATATTTAATTAAGTTGGTAAAATCTTGTATTTAGCCAGTCCTCTTTTTTTTTTTCTAAACAGTGTTTCAGGGTTTCTCTGTGTAGTCCTGGCTGTCCTTGAACTCACAGGCAACCATCTGCCTCTGCCTCCCAAGTGCTGGAACTAAAGGCATGCATCGCCACTGCCCAGCTAGCCAGTGCTCTTGTACTTTAGGCATCCACTATCCCCTTCCTGATTACTGCCATTTTCCACTTTTGATTTCATATCTTGGCTCAAAAATACCGTTTTTACCTATCTTACATTTTTTTCTTTAAGTTCACTTGTTTTCTAAACTGAAAAAAATATTGATCAAAAGACTTGATATCTCTGATATGCAGAAGGAATTTGCCTTCATGAGATGCAGACTATGAAAGGAGACACTAACAAAAGCATCTCAGTTATATGGTAGATACTATTATCTGACAAGGACTGTATGCTCAAATTAGCTCTATCATTCACTGAAAGGTGTTAAGAAAAACAAGGACTAAAACAACAGATAGTTTCCTGGAAGAGGTAGAGCAATGGGAGAAAATGAAGTGCAGAATGATTTTCTCACTGTGTTATTTGTCTCAATGTTATTTAAGAGCCTATTATTGGATTGTTACATTGTTATAAAGTTTCCTATCTCAACTCTCCTATACACAGATGAAATTTATGCATAATACATGTGTGCATATACACATATATGTCAACTGAATCAAGCTAGGGTGATCAATGTGTTGTGAATACCTGTCATATACATGATTGCCAGGAAATTATTTACTTACCGTGTTCATCAAGCAAAATATTGTCAGGCTTCATATCCCTAGGGGAGGAAATAAGGAGAAGATAAAGTTGTTCATAATAAAACGAACAGAGCCACGTGGTGAAAACAAAAATGCTCAATAGATCCTATTTAGGGTTGAAACATTGCACTAGCATTTCATACCATTATCACAGACTCTGTCTGAGACAGTTAACATTAACTAACTGTGTAGATTAGAAAACTAAGGGTTCAGCCAAGGTGACAGATCAATGGAAGAATTGGGTTCTGAATCTGGCCTTGTCTCATTCACAAAGACTCTTAATTGCTATAGGATGAAAGTATTGGTCAATAGGGATTTTGGGGACATTTACATTGGCATAAAGTAGCATGGGTAATATTAGCCATTATCTTCCTGTGAAACCCTAGGTACATATGGTTTAAGTTCTTTAATTGCCTAATCATTGTACTTGGGGTAGTAAAAGGGACAAATCATCTACATCTATGAGTTAGTGTATAACATGACAACCTTAATTAATTTGCTAAGCTAGTCACTCTCTGACATGCTTAACTCCAAGCTAAAAAGGTAGTTTCATGAGAAGATAATGGCAATCTGCTTGACAGTAGTATTCATTTTACTATGTAAATATTTATTAGTGCATAATATTGTATACCTTTAAAACATACCTTTGTTATTAGATGTGAAAAATAACCGAAAAGATGGTAAGGAGAAGGAAACCCACTGGCTTCCAATGAAAGGAGTTTTGTGATGACAAATGTGAAGACTGATTGTGACAGTGTTTTCCATGTTCTCATGAAATGATTACACTGGGCAGTTCTCCTCAACCAAAGACTAGCGCTACAGTTTATAACAACCCAAAGCTCTCTAGGTTCAGATTTTCACAACCCTTCCCTAATGTGCCATTAAAACGCTTCATCCTTGATTCATTAAGGCCATTAGGAAAGAAATTTTAAATGGGTTTGGGAAACACATTATTAGCTTGGTCAAGTGGCTTCTTATGTTGTCAGGACAAAAAAAAATGATCTTAGTTTTTGACAGACAAAATTTTGTATTTTCTTGACAAAATTAATAGGCTTATAAACAGAAGTCATGGCATGCTGCATCCAGCATTCGGGTGGCATGAATTATTTTGTGAATCATGAAATTTTCCTTTTGTGGCTTAGTCTGTTAAATTAATTCTGGATCCATAGAGAGATCCTTTGTTTCAGGATTCTTTTCTGTGCTACAGAGTTCAATTTATTAGAAAGATAGCGTAACAGGACTTCAAATTGCAGGTTTCTGTAGTATTGCAGAGCTGTCTCCAAAGCCTTTTTCTGAAGAAGTGTCAAGTCCAAACTCACACATGTCCCAGAAGTCAATACGTTATCCTGTTCTGTGTTTCAGCCATGATGTGCACAGGTAGAACCTTCTAACATATACCCTGAAAATCCATGCCTGCTTATTGCTATACTGTACCTGTTGCTCTTCAGTCTGCATCAGACCCTCTCACCACCACTCCCAGACACAGCAGATTCACTTGGCATCAGAGATTTCACTTGTTGCAAGAAGCCTTCGGTGACTTTCCAATGCTGGACCAAATGTTCTGATGTGGATTTGACTCCCTTGTAATATGTGCCACACTTATGTGCAGCTCTTCTTCATACTTAGGCTCATGACCTTGTTAATGCCAGGGGTAGTTTCTTGGACAGCACACAGAGTCCGAGTGTGTGGTGATCACGAAAGGAGACCCAGGCAAACTCTAGCACATGGGAAGGTGGAGCCAATAGTACAGGACACTTGCTACTGTGCACCCACCAAAACTCTCTGTAGCAGGAAGCTGGGGGTAATCCAGATGTCAGACTCTTTCTGCCATTTTCAGATTGTATCCAGTTGGTTGGTTACGGTATACCAGCTTTTCTGTGGGATTTGGAGTCCTGTCCTTTCTCCTCTCATGCATTCCATTGGTAAATGCCCTTGCACTCCACATCAACTCCTCTGTGAAAATATGTTACCACCGAATCTCGAAGAAGCCACCTCTGCCCATTGCCACATCTTACTCTTTCTTTAATGATGACACTCCTGAATTGAATGCTGACAGGTGGAATGAGGAATGACATATGCTACTTTCATCTCAGATCACTAACCAACTTCCTTCTCCTCAAGTCCTTGAGATTTCTCTGTCAGACACATCTGTTCCCCTCACTGTGCCAATCCAATCATCACGCTTTTACTGGTACTCTGTTCCCCAGGTAAGAGAAGGGGTGTATAGATCACTCTTCTCTTATGACACACTTTGTTTCCATGGCTTAGAAAAAACTCAGTTACTGGGTTTCTTCTATCAAAGAGATTCCTTAGCCTCCTTTGCTAGTACCTTCTTGGTAGAATCTCTGGATGTTGGACTCTATCAAGGTTTAAGTCTATGCAGAATTCCATCCCACTAAATGACTACATTTAGTCTTATGATTTTAAGTAGTATTTACATGCCAAATGATAATGCATATGAAGCACATTTCTAGTTCTTACCCTGGAATTACAGAGAAGTACACAAAATTGCTCGCCTGATGGTGTCATCTGATACGAGAAAAATACATAATTCCTTGAACTGGGCCTTTCTGTCTATCCCTAACCTTCACCCACACAACACCAAAATGATTCCAGAATTCCAGGATCTGGCCCCATAGTTCTCTCATCTCAAAAGCGAAAATCTTGAACTATAGAGGTTCCTGTTTGAATTCTTAACACCAATTGCTTAGCAACTTCCGATAAACCTACCTTAAAACAAAATTGCTGGAAGTAGCATAGGGAATCTCCCAGAATATGAAATATGAAAATACCACATGATAGAGCAACTTCATTTCTCAGGTGTTTAGCCCAGAGGTTTGCATGGGAGTTTGCATTGGGATTTGTGTGTTCATGCCCAAACTCCGTGTTATCATTCACAACAGCTAAGAGAGAGAAGCGACCTAGATGTCTATTGATATATGAAAAAGACAAAATATATTTACAACGGAGTACTGTTCTCTTAAAAAGAATGGAATTCTTATAAATGCTATGGCATTAACGAACATACTGATGTCTAGAAGACATTGTGTTGAGTGAAACAAGTCAGACACAAAAGAGCCATTGTTGTATGATTCTGGTTCTATGAGGTATGTACAGGAGTCAAATGCACATAAATGGAGGGCATGAAAGTGGTTCGTATGGACTGGAGTTATTATTTAAAGGCACAGAGCTCTAATTCTGAGGATGTGAGGTAGCTATGGCTTCAACCGTGTTTAAGTACTCACTGTATTTTGTCACTTAAAATGATCTAGTTTCGTATTTTATACAATTTAAACATCAACAGATGAATTAGTAACACAACCAACATCTGCTGCTGTGAAAGTACTTCTCCATCAGATGCTGCAGTGGTACTTTTTCTTGCCTCTCCATTTTCTCCTGGATACCCATTATCTTCTTAGCATCTGGCAAGCAGTATCATACTTTATGTCTCTTCCCTGCTTGAACTCCCACTGGCTTTCACCCCACAGGAGACTAAGAGTGACATAATTTCTGCTGCCCAGTAGACACAGTAGTATGCTGGTGCAGGACAAACTCCACTATGTGCCTTTCTCCAGCTCCCTAGCCTCCATATCCCCCATTCTCAGATAGCCCCTTATGTTTATAGTTCTGATCCCTGTGCACTCCCATGTCTGGAGAGCATGGCACATCTCCTCACTCCTTCCCAAAGTTACTACCTGTCCTATTGTTAGTAAAATACCATCACCACCAGTTGTTTTATTGTTGATGTGCTCATTACTTCCATCTCTTCTATAAGGATGAAACTTCCCTGAGAAAAGAATGTCTTGTTTAATGCTGTAGCCACTGGGACTCATAAAAGTACCCAGAAGAGAGTAAAGTATTTTAGTAAATGTTCATCATAAAAATTCTTCATGAGTCCTGGCACTAAACTCTATAACACAAAACACAAACACAAAAGCTCCTAATGAGTATCTGATGCCAGTTAGGCTGCATTCGCTGTCTGCCAACTACAAACCTGACCCCTTTTAGCAAGTGTCTGAGCATGCATCAGAGTGAGAGATGACAGGCCAACCTCTGTGCAGTGAGAAAGTACGACTTTAGACAGGGGCTTTGAATTTGGAGAGTGGTAGAGTAAAATTTAGGGACACACATATTCTATGGAACTTCTCTGTTGCATTTTGTTAAACAACAAAAACCAACAAAGCTATGCCTTACTGAGTCTGCTGTTGTCACCTTCAAGGACTACAAATAGTAGGGAAGAAACCCAATGCTCCCTGTGGCAGGGTCCAAGTGGAACTGATATATCTGTCCTTCTCACTTGAGTGACTTTACAAGTCATTAGCGGACTTTAATAGGCTAATTACATCCCTTCATTGCACCCTACTACTGGGGTCAAGTTGCTCACCCTTTTATACCACACAGGGTGTATGACAGTAGGGAACAAGAAACTCATTGTTTCCAAACTCAGATCAGCTTCACCAGCATCCCACAATTTCTGACCAGGCACCTGGTTAGTTTGGTATGGGTTTGGGTTTTGTGTTTGTTGTTGTATAGCACACCCTCAAGCTGGGTCATCTCCAAGTTCTTGAAAGGGAAAAAACACTGTGCATGTGTGTGTGGGTGTGTAATATATAAGATTTAGATTTGTCACACAAATGCTACTGGTCCCCAAACTCGATCAATACCTAAGTTGAAACAGGAAGCAGAGTAATGAGTTTTCTGGACCAGATGGTGTTCCTGACCAGAAACTATGCTCTAAGATTATACTTCATAAGTTTTGCTGACAATTCCAGTTCTCTTCCTTGCTTCTCATGTAATCTTGGTCCTGTGATTTAAGCTCTCATGGATAGCTGGCCCTTCATCATCTGCACACATGGTCTAATCTCTGTAATGCAGCCACCATGGTAAAGAATAAAGGTGGAGCCCTAGAGAGAAATAAAGGCTACACTGCCTGGCAAGTGCCTACACTTAGACTTTGTCTGCTGCATCTGCTCACCTCCAGCATCTCTTGCTATTTATTTGTTCCAGGGAAGATGAGTTG